CACTAATATCGTCGTCGCGGCTCGTTCGCCAGGTAATATCATCCCCATGGCCTCTTCAATTGCTCGGCTTGCGGCGAGGCGGCTGGCCGGCCTGCCGGCGAACCCGGCTGAGGTGGTATGGCGGCGGGCGATGGGAACCAAGGTGCTGGAGGAGCAAGAGCACGCCGTTGAAAACGTCTATTTCCAGGTGCGTTCCTCTATCGGGTTGTGCTTGTAACGAAGTGTGCGTGTGTATTGTATCTCTCGGAAGTGTCATTTGAAGTGGTATGGTGGCTGGCGATGAGATGAGATGAGCCAGGGCAGCAAGGTGCGAAGGAACAGAGCACTCTGTCGTAAACGTTTACTTCCGTGTTTGTGCCTTTCGTGGATTGTGCGTGTAACGAAAAGGGCTAGTAACGGGTATGCGTCGCGAATGTCGTCGTAGCTGGTATAGCAGAGCGCAGTGAGCGCAGGACGCGATGAGCTATGGCGGGAAGGTGAGGGAGGAATATAGGAACACGCTGTAGAGAACGTTTCAGAGGTGCGTGCTTGTTAAGGGGGTGGTTCTCCCACATAGTGCTCTCGTGAATTAATAGTCAACGCTTGGTCTCCGGAAACACATTAAGATCATACGGATAAGGTCATTTGTTGTGCATTTCCTCTTTTCACATGATTTGCATGGATTTCTCCTTCTCTTTTTTCTTTTCTGCATGAACTTGCCCTCCACGTATTTGTTGCGTACATTTCCTTTCTTCCCATGTGTTTCATGCATGTTTTGCCAAATGCACTGTGGTTTGGATTGTGTCTGTGCTGATATTTTTGCACATCCATCCATTCATGCGTGCAGAGAGTTGAGCACGAGAAGCTCGAGAAACTCAAGGCTGTAAGTCCCTTCTGCCCGTCGCTGCCCATGCTTTGACCGTCTTTTCTTCTCCTGGTTTTTCTTGCTCCTCCTTGCTTCTCCTGGCTCCTCGTTGCTCCTCCTTGCTTCTCCTGGCTTCTCCGTGCTCCTCCTTGCTCCTCTCACTCATGAATACCTGTTCTGACGCCAAACATTCATACTTAACTTTCTATGCAACCACCCTGGATTTCACCATCCTATTTCTTCCTTCCTGGGCTGCTGCTCGTCCATTCCCTGACCCCCTTCACCTCCTATTCACCCACTCCCCTCCCGTCCCCCTCTGGGTGCATGGAAAGCTATCACACTCCAGACTGCCAAATAGGGACAGACTCTCTGTTCCCATAGCCGTTCCCCATAATCCCCACGCCTTCCCATACCCCTGCAGCAACTGGAGGCAGACTAGCAGGAGGCCGTGGCTTATGCAGCATCGGCACACGCAGCTCTCAAGGCCACCAGCTAGGGTTGTGCTTCCCCTAACCCCTGGCCCTACTCTTACCCTTTACCCATTGCTTGCACCTTCCCATACCCCGGCAGCAACTGGAGGCTCACAAAGAGGAGGCCGCAGCTCATGCAGCATCGGCACACGAGGCTCTCAAGGCGGCTAAGGAGGCTCAGAAGGCTGCCGAGTCTGCCAAGCCAGCTTCGGACGGAGGCTCGGGTAGCACCATGTCGTTTGCTGCGGGCACTGTGGTCGGTGGCCTGCTGGTGTGGCTGCTCAAGCCCTAATCAATTGACATTGTCCTTATATTTGTGAATGTGGAGTACAGTACATTCTTTAGGGTCTTACTCTAATCGATGGCCTGCTGGTGTGGCTGCTCAAGACTTGACAGTGTCCCTGCGTTAGTGGAATATGAAATGGAGGATACACTTGTATCGGCGTTATATACTCATTCTTACGCTTGTGTGTCGGTGCTGTGAAGTACCCCGACCGTGTATGGATGTATGAAGCTTACCGTATGGCCCCGGATATAGGCGCCGTCCGATTAAGGGCGCCGGCGCTTCTATCTGGAGCATGGCGCTTATGGCCGGAAGTCGATTATAAGCGCCCCCCCTCTGGTGGGTGTACTTATTATAAGCGCATCTTTTCACGTTGTGGAGAACTCATTACAAAAAAAACATCTCTAATTAACACTAAACATGAGCATGCTAACTTTACACCTACAACATCATCACTGACATTTTTATCTAGCTACATATTGCAAAGTTTAGCATCTCTACCTAGAAAATCTACTCCTCGTCGGATTCTGGCTCCTGGCAGTTGTTGCCAAAGAAGCCATCGGCGATGATGGAGTGATCGACATCCACCTCCGCGGTCAGCTGGCTCCGCCTGTGCGCCATGGCGAGGCCGTCCTCACTGCCGTCAAGCGCGTTGCTGATGCCACAGGTGAGGAAGGCGCGCTTGATGAGGTCGGCGGGCACTGCTTTCCAAGCCCGTGAGATCCACCTCACGACCACCTCTGGGGGTGGCTTCTTCAAGTTCCCTGTACCAACAGAATCACATGAAATGAGACGGTAGTTAGCGCAACAAAAGGGGGGAAAATCTTCTACGGTAGTCTAGGGACTCGCGTGGCTACCGTACCTGCTTTGGTTAGCTGTTCTTGGCCTTCTTCCTGAAACCACTTCTGATACTGCTGGCGAACGCTCGCCTTAAAGCTCTTGTTGATGGAGACGTCGAGGGGCTGTACCTCCGCCGTGCAGCCAGACGGGATGATCGCCGGCACGCAGTTGAGCTCGCGAAACTTCTCCTTAACGACATCAGTGAGGTGACCGCGGTACGAGTCCAGTACGACCATCGAGCTCCGCGCATGCCTCCCGAACCCAGGCTTTAGAAATGGCTTGACGCACTCCTCAAGCCATTGTATGACGCCGTTGGCGTCCATCCAGCCATTCTCGTGACACGACACGACCACATCTGCATAACAAACAAGCTTCTGTAAATCTCTTTAAAAACAAAGACCGGTGTAAAGCAAACAAACAAGAATCCTGACTCACCCGGCGGGAACACCCCTTTCGGCACGGTCTTCCGCTTGAAAAAAACCCACGGCCTCAGCTTCATCCCGTCCGCCGTGCACGCCAACATCACGGTCACGCGCTCCTTCTGGTACCCTGCGCTCCTGATGGGCACCGACCGAACACCGGTTTGATCGACGGTAGTGGTGGCGGGCATCTCCAGCCACAGCGGCGTCTGGTCGGCGTTGATAATCCACGTCGTCTCGATGCCGCGCTCCCGACGCTTGTCACGGACGAATTGCCAGAAGTTCTTGCATTGCTCCGCGACATCTGCGGTTGAGCACAGTTACGGTTAGTGAGTAACAAGTGCATACACATGTCATAGAGAATAAAAATGATTCTTACGGGCGGCGGTTTTCTGGGCGACCTTCGTCTTCATTCGCACGCTGAGATTCCACCGCCGACGGAACCGGTCCGACCACCGTTGGCTCCCTTTCCACTTCACGAGGGGGTAGAGAATCTTCATGAACTCCCGGAACCACTCCTGCAGGCGGCCGACGGACACCGCGGTTCCCTTACGTCGCCAGTCGAGCAGTCGCTCATACACCTTAATCTCCATCGGGCGGTACCACGACGCCCTGCCGCGACCGTGCATGTGGCACCTGGCAGAGTGGGCTTCCTTGAGGAAATCAGCGGCACGCTTCCAGTTGGCGAGGCACTTGCGGTGGATGCCACTCTCGCGAGCCAGAGCGTGCACCGACACCGCCAAATCCAGCTGCGCGACCCACTTCAACTTCTCGGCGGCAGTATAGGCCTGACGCTTGTGGTCGTTGGGCTTGTGCCTGGGAGAGGGGGGGCGAGAATCACGGTTTTGTGAAGAAGGGTGAGGTCGCTTACGATTACGTGGAGGATAAGTTGGTATCGGGAGTTTCTCGGGGAGGCCATCGCGTGACCAGTATTCGACGCCGTCGTCGTCGTCACCGCCCGGCGCACCCTCGGGAAACACATCCTCAGCAGTGCCGGCCTCAGTAGCGGCCTCGGTGTCGGCCTCAGTGCGCCAACCGTCCTCGGCGTCTTGCACGTCGTCATCAGCGCCGACTGCAGATTCATCCCACGTGAAATCTTCTGGCTGGCCCCAACGTGGTGCTGGCGCTGGAGCGGGTACGTCAACATCGGGGCCCTTGTCATAATCCGGTTCCGACAGATACTCGTCGAACGCCGATGGGAGCAGGAGCGTGAGCACGGGGTGGTTGTCGATGTGAGGGGCCACCGGACACGGAGGAACAGGAGGAACAGGAGGAGCAGGGGGAGTCGGAGGCACTGGAGGAGCCGGAGGAGCAGGCGGCGCAGGAGGCTGTGGTGGCCCTGGAGGGTCTGGAGGTATGCGGCTATACCACCCGTCGGATGTAACACGGTACGCGGGCCTACTAGAAGGTTTTTTCTTGAAGAGAAAATGAGTGCCTGTGAATTCCGCCATGGCTTCCGCAGCCAGGCGGGCGAGAAAATGAAGACTGAATAAAAAACTGCAACCCTGGGTGTTGAAATGGGAGATTGAAGGGGACCCCTTCTGGTTTGCGGCTCGGGGTCCTCGTCGATGAGAGACGAGTACACCCCTGCCCCAACCCGCAGAGGAGGGTTGGGGGCACCATCCATGCTGCGCTGGCACGGCAGATTCCATCACGTTCTGGATGGTTCTGCCGAGATGCTCCTGCCTGGCAGCGCATGCCAACCTGATTGGGCCGCACGGCAGGTTTTGCATCAGCGCTGGCAGGTGCGTTGCACCGGGACGGGTTTTGTGCGGTGGGAAATCGAACCGCGGCAAGTTTCGACGTCATTCCATGCACGACCCCGCGTGCATGGTACAGTGCTGTACTCGCCTTCTCCACGGCTTCAGAATGATATTATTTACAGAGAAATTCATTTTTGCCTTTATAAAAGCGCCGGCGCTTATGGCCGTTACTCAATTACAAGCGCCCCCCTTAAAAAATAATAATTTATTATAAGCGCATATGCGCTACTATCCGGGGTATAACGGTAATAGCATATGAACAACGGCATGTTGCTACGATACCTGTTGGCGGATACAGTGCCCACCATTGCTTGCTGGTGAATAAATTTACAGAGTGGGTACGACAGGGCATGGTACTGTAGTTCACTGATGTGTTGGTAATCAGGTCATGTGACAACCCTGAGTAAGGACGAAGGCTGACAGACAGCAGTCATGGAGGCCGAGTTTTCACGGGAAATATTACACGAAAACAACGCATATCTACATGCCTTTCAGCACATCACGCAATGCATACATGTATGAATTCACAAGGTGATCCGACAATAATGAGGACGACAGAACAATCCTCTCGAACCGCACACTCCCATGCGCCTCCAACAACACATGCTCCCCATCCTTCTTATCCCTCACTATATGGTACAGCTTTCCAGGAGCGTAACGCCTGTGCGTATCCATGGTTACCACATTTGCCGAAACTGTAGCAGCCAAGTCCTCGGTAAGAATCTCAGACTTGCCATTCTCATTGCCGTTGCTGCCATTCTCGCTGCCACTCCCACTCCCATTTCCATTCCAACTGCTGTAGCAGCTGTCACGGCCATTGCCGCTGTCACTGCACATTTCTGTCTTACCTTTATCATCCATCCCTTGGCTGCTGCCTGCTGTCACTTCAATGCCAAGTGGAATTGATCCAGCTCCCCACCCAATATCCTCACCTTCTTCCCGCTGTTGCTGCATTTTCTGCTGTTGCTGTGGCAGTAGCTCATAGTCATCCCCTTTATTAACTACTGCACTATTGGAGTAGTCCTCGTCCGAGATACAGCACTCCATCTGTACGTGTTGCAGCAGCATCAGCTCATGCCGACTCAGCTCCCGCTCCTTCTTTTTCCTCCACCTCTTCGACTTGAGCTTGGTCAGCAGTGAGGGAGAGTCAGGAGAGGATAAGGCAGGAGGAGGTGAAGGGGAAAGTCGAAGGGAAGAGCGAGTGTGGGAAGAGGGAGAGGATCGAGGGGGACGAGAAGAGGGAACGGGGGTTTCTCGGGGGCGAGAGGAGGAGAAGGTGTAGAGAGCATCTAGGGCCGATGAGCACGAGTCAGAGATATCAAGCTCTTCGGGGGGAGCGCTATTCATGGTGGTGGGATATGATTGGGATGAGGGGGATGCAGAGGAAGGGGAAGGGGCAGAAGAGTCGGAAGGAGATTGGAGGTACGTGGAAGGATTCGGGGGAGAGTGCGGAGATAGAGGAGGAGGGTGAGATGTAGAGAGTGGAAGGGAGTGAAAGGAGGAATCTGTTACAGTAGAGTCACGCAGTATGGTAGCGCCGGTCAGCTCGCCCTCCCTATAAGCAGCACCGTTACTGTCACCTGCATCTGAAGGGACTGAGCTCAGTGTATCGAGCTCTTGAACAGAAGCAAAGCTGTTGCTGATCAAGCTATTCGGGGTAGAGTGAGAGGGAGAGCTGGCACTGCTGATGCTGATGCTGCTGCCATTGTTGCTTCTGCTGCTGCTGCTGCTGCTATTTCCGCCGCTGCTGCTGCTACTGCCGCTGCTGCTTGTCCCGTTGTTTTTGCTGCTACTGCCATTGCCGTTGCTGTTGTCTGAAGAAGCAGGGCGAGCGCGCTTCTCCTTGCTGGGCTGAGCAGCAGCGCATGCCACCACTTCGTTTCGCAGCGACTCCAAGGCGTGCAGACTGAGGCGCGGCACTATGTCATCCTGGTGGCACGTGGTAACAGCACGTGGTAACATGGTAACAACACATGGGGGAAAGAAGACAATACAGGTACATTGAGGCACCTCTAGCACAAGGAGAGTGAGAGTGGGCAGTCTTCTGTTCCTCTTATCTCGCAGCACCAAGAAGGTCACCTGCAGCACCAGCACCCACAAGGGAGGGAGCTCACCTGTAGGACCACAGTGGTGATAAAAGAAGTAGCACAGTGGGTTGTGGATACGAGGGGGGATCTCTGTCCTATCAAAGCACTGAGGAGCTCACCTGCAGGATGACAGTGGTGATGAAGGACCGACAGGAGAGCGCCAGGTGCCGGGACACACAGGGCGGCGTCGCAAACCCCACACAGCGCACGCGCTCACTCGTAATCCTCAGCAGCCCCTCCGCCTGCGTTTTGAGGCGCGTCAAAACTAGCTAGCAGCCCCTCCGCCTGCGGGCACAGCAGAATGGTCACCAGCGCCGCCACCGCCGCCCCCAGGGAGTGCCCAATCAGCCGCAGATCATACCCCGGGTGGTGCGCCAGGAGGTGGCGCAGCAGGGGGAGAGCGAGAGAGAGAGCTGGGGGGGGGGGGAGGTTCCTCTGTTCCTCTTCTCTCACACCACCAAGAGAGCTCACCTGCAGGACCACAGTGGTGATGAAGGAGCGACAGGAGAGCGCCAGATGCCGGGACACACACGGCGGCGTCGCGAACCCCACACACCGCACGCGCTCACTTGTTATCCCCAGCAGAACCTCCGCCTGCGGGCGCAGCAGAATGGTGACCAGCGCCGCCACCGCCGCCCCCAGAGAGTGTCCAATCAGCCGCAGATCATACCCCGGGTGGTGGGCGAGGAGGTGGCGCAGCAGGGGGGATTCCTCGTGCACGAATGTCTCGGCTGCCTGCACCATGCCGTAGTGCCCGAAGGCGATTACCTCGTCCATGTCCCGCCGCTCCTCCTCTCCTACCACGTCCTCCATCGTCTCCTCCCTTGGTGCCTGCTTTGGGCCCTGCTTCGAGTTCTGCTTCGAGTTCTGCTTTGAATTTGCCCGTGATTGATCGTTTGACTCCTCTTCTGTTTGTCGCTTGGCCTCGCTCCTCCGCCTATTCTCACTCACGCCCCCCATTTCCCCTGTCATTCCTCGCCCTCTCCTCTTTTCCTCTCTTGTCTCGCCTTTTCGCTCACTCCATGCAGCCACCCTGTCTCCCTCCCTCTCTCCCTCCATCCCATCGCTTTCTATAAAGTACTCCCCTTCACTCTCCTCACTCCTCTCCTCACTCTGCCATCGCTTCTCCCCTCCATCTGTTGCCGACCCATCCTCTCCCCCCTCCCTCTCCACAGCACGTTGAACAGTAGAGACGAGGACCGAGTGGGCGGCGAGGTTCGTCAGCATGTCGTGCGCCGACCGCGTCCCGCGGAACGACACCACTACTAGACGACGCTTGTCGTCCAGAGCTATGAAGTAGGCCGGCCTGCCGTAGCGAGCCTGATGTGGTGCGGACGAGAAGGGTGGAAGGAGGAAGAGTAAGGCACGAGGACGATGGGGAGAGGATGGGGGGAGGATGGAGGGCGGATGGGGGGGGATATGGGGAGGATGGGCGGAGAATGGGAGGAGAGTACATGCATGCTTGTTTGCCTATTCCTTAATATGCTTTGAAAAAGGCAAACAAGCATGTATGTATGTACTCTTAGGGGGGGGTGGAAGGTGTGTCTTGATTCGAGTCCCATTTCCTGTGGAACTCGAATCAGGGGGATGGGGGGTGAGGAGAGCAGACATCCTGTGCACACCGCACCTTAGGTACGATCTTGACAATGCGATTGGGGCGAACCATACACGCCTGTGCTATGGCTCTGTTTTGAGGCGCCTCTAACTCCCAGTGCACTTCTCACCTTCGGAACAATCTTGACAATGTGGTTGCGCCGAATTTAGTTTTGAGGCGCCTCGAATCAGGGGGATGGGAAGAGGTGGAGTGCGTCATCTAATCAAGGGGGGTGCAGAGAGAAGACACCTTGTGGACTTCTCACCTTGGGTACGATTTTTGAGTCGACTCAAGAGAAGACACCTTGTGCACTTCTCACCTTGGGTACGATTTTTGAGTCGACTCAAGAGAAGACACCTTGTGCACTTCTCACCTTGGGTACGATTTTTGAGTCGACTCAAGAGAAGACACCTTGTGCACTTCTCACCTTGGGTACGATTTTTGAGTCGACTCAAGAGAAGACACCTTGTGCACTTCTCACCTTGGGTACGATTTTTGAGTCGACTCAAGAGAAGACACCTTGTGCACTTCTCACCTTGGGTACGATTTTTGAGTCGACTCAAGAGAAGACACCTTGTGCACTTCTCACCTTGGGTACGATTTTTGAGTCGACTCAAGAGAAGACACCTTGTGCACTTCTCACCTTGGGTACGATTTTTGAGTCGACTCAAGAGAAGACACCTTGTGCACTTCTCACCTTGGGTACGATTTTTGAGTCGACTCAAGAGAAGACACCTTGTGCACTTCTCACCTTGGGTACGATTTTTGAGTCGACTCAAGAGAAGACACCTTGTGGACTTCTCACCTTGGGTACGATTTTTGAGTCGACTCAAGAGAAGACACCTTGTGCACTTCTCACCTTGGGTACGATTTTTGAGTCGACTCAAGAGAAGACACCTGGTGCACTTCTCACCTTGGGTACGATTTTTGAGTCGACTCAAGAGAAGACACCTTGTGCACTTCTCACCTTGGGTACGATTTTTGAGTCGACTCAAGAGAAGACACCTTGTGCACTTCTCACCTTGGGTACGATTTTTGAGTCGACTCAAGAGAAGACACCTTGTGCACTTCTCACCTTGGGTACGATTTTTGAGTCGACTCAAGAGAAGACACCTTGTGCACTTCTCACCTTGGGTACGATTTTTGAGTCGACTCAAGAGAAGACACCTTGTGCACTTCTCACCTTGGGTACGATTTTTGAGTCGACTCAAGAGAAGACACCTTGTGCACTTCTCACCTTGGGTACGATTTTTGAGTCGACTCAAGAGAAGACACCTTGTGCACTTCTCACCTTGGGTACGATTTTTGAGTCGACTCAAGAGAAGACACCTTGTGCACTTCTCACCTTGGGTACGATTTTTGAGTCGACTCAAGAGAAGACACCTTGTGCACTTCTCACCTTGGGTACGATTTTTGAGTCGACTCAAGAGAAGACACCTTGTGCACTTCTCACCTTGGGTACGATTTTTGAGTCGACTCAAGAGAAGACACCTTGTGCACTTCTCACCTTGGGTACGATTTTTGAGTCGACTCAAGAGAAGACACCTTGTGCACTTCTCACCTTGGGTACGATTTTTGAGTCGACTCAAGAGAAGACACCTTGTGCACTTCTCACCTTGGGTACGATTTTTGAGTCGACTCAAGAGAAGACACCTTGTGCACTTCTCACCTTGGGTACGATTTTTGAGTCGACTCAAGAGAAGACACCTTGTGGACTTCTCACCTTGGGTACGATTTTTGAGTCGACTCAAGAGAAGACACCTTGTGCACTTCTCACCTTGGGTACGATTTTTGAGTCGACTCAAGAGAAGACACCTTGTGCACTTCTCACCTTGGGTACGATTTTTGAGTCGACTCAAGAGAAGACACCTTGTGCACTTCTCACCTTGGGTACGATTTTTGAGTCGACTCAAGAGAAGACACCTTGTGCACTTCTCACCTTGGGTACGATTTTTGAGTCGACTCAAGAGAAGACACCTTGTGCACTTCTCACCTTGGGTACGATTTTTGAGTCGACTCAAGAGAAGACACCTTGTGCACTTCTCACCTTGGGTACGATTTTTGAGTCGACTCAAGAGAAGACACCTTGTGCACTTCTCACCTTGGGTACGATTTTTGAGTCGACTCAAGAGAAGACACCTTGTGCACTTCTCACCTTGGGTACGATTTTTGAGTCGACTCAAGAGAAGACACCTTGTGCACTTCTCACCTTGGGTACGATTTTTGAGTCGACTCAAGAGAAGACACCTTGTGGACTTCTCACCTTGGGTACGATTTTTGAGTCGACTCAAGAGAAGACACCTTGTGCACTTCTCACCTTGGGTACGATTTTTGAGTCGACTCAAGAGAAGACACCTTGTGCACTTCTCACCTTGGGTACGATTTTTGAGTCGACTCAAGAGAAGACACCTTGTGCACTTCTCACCTTGGGTACGATTTTTGAGTCGACTCAAGAGAAGACACCTTGTGCACTTCTCACCTTGGGTACGATTTTTGAGTCGACTCAAGAGAAGACACCTTGTGCACTTCTCACCTTGGGTACGATTTTTGAGTCGACTCAAGAGAAGACACCTTGTGCACTTCTCACCTTGGGTACGATTTTTGAGTCGACTCAAGAGAAGACACCTTGTGCACTTCTCACCTTGGGTACGATTTTTGAGTCGACTCAAGAGAAGACACCTTGTGCACTTCTCACCTTGGGTACGATTTTTGAGTCGACTCAAGAGAAGACACCTTGTGCACTTCTCACCTTGGGTACGATTTTTGAGTCGACTCAAGAGAAGACACCTTGTGCACTTCTCACCTTGGGTACGATTTTTGAGTCGACTCAAGAGAAGACACCTTGTGGACTTCTCACCTTGGGTACGATTTTTGAGTCGACTCAAGAGAAGACACCTTGTGCACTTCTCACCTTGGGTACGATTTTTGAGTCGACTCAAGAGAAGACACCTTGTGCACTTCTCACCTTGGGTACGATTTTTGAGTCGACTCAAGAGAAGACACCTTGTGCACTTCTCACCTTGGGTACGATTTTTGAGTCGACTCAAGAGAATACACCTTGTGCACTTCTCACCTTGGGTACGATTTTTGAGTCGACTCAAGAGAAGACACCTTGTGCACTTCTCACCTTGGGTACGATTTTTGAGTCGACTCAAGAGAAGACACCTTGTGCACTTCTCACCTTGGGTACGATTTTTGAGTCGACTCAAGAGAAGACACCTTGTGCACTTCTCACCTTGGGTACGATTTTTGAGTCGACTCAAGAGAAGACACCTTGTGCACTTCTCACCTTGGGTACGATTTTTGAGTCGACTCAAGAGAAGACACCTTGTGCACTTCTCACCTTGGGTACGATTTTTGAGTCGACTCAAGAGAAGACACCTTGTGCACTTCTCACCTTGGGTACGATTTTTGAGTCGACTCAAGAGAAGACACCTTGTGCACTTCTCACCTTGGGTACGATTTTTGAGTCGACTCAAGAGAAGACACCTTGTGGACTTCTCACCTTGGGTACGATTTTTGAGTCGACTCAAGAGAAGACACCTTGTGCACTTCTCACCTTGGGTACGATTTTTGAGTCGACTCAAGAGAAGACACCTTGTGCACTTCTCACCTTGGGTACGATTTTTGAGTCGACTCAAGAGAAGACACCTTGTGGACTTCTCACCTTGGGTACGATTTTTGAGTCGACTCAAGAGAAGACACCTTGTGGACTTCTCACCTTGGGTACGATCTTGACAATGCGGTTCGGGCGAACCATGCACGCCTGCGCTATGGCTCTGTGCGTTGTGGCTATCGCCGCCTTTGCAAACTCGCAGTGGTAGATCAGATCCTGCACCTGGAATGGTGAAGGTGGAAGAAGCAGCGGCAGAGGAATGGGGCAGCAGAGGCATGAACTTCTGTGCGTATGTATGTGAATACGTACGAATGAGGTATTCTCTTCTCTTCCATACGTTGTGAATGCCTGGGCGAACTCGCAGTGGTAGATCAGATCCTGCACCTGCAAGCGGAAGGAAGGGGGGGAGGAATGGGGTTGCAGAGTATGCATCAACTTTTGTGTGTGGCTATGGTCGCCCTTGTTAACTCGCAGTGGTAGATCAGATCCTGCACCTGGAACGGAAATAACAGCAAAGGAAAGATGCGCGGAAGTCTGTTACTCATTCTCTGCTCCACACTCCCTTCTGCTCCACACTCCCTTCTGCTCCACACTCCCTTCTGCTCCACACTCCCTTCTGCTCCACACTCCCTTCTGCTCCTCACTCACTTAAGAAGTAGGGCACGTGCTCACACACAGTCTTTCCACCCCACACTCAGAGTCTGCTCGTCTGTGACAGGGACGGAAGCAACAGTGTCCACGGCTCTCTCCTCAGCATGCTGCAGAGACAGCAGGTACAGCCCGTGGGTGAGGTCCTGCAGTGACCACGCACCAAGAGAGGGTGGTACCCACCAAGCCTCACCAAGTGTGAGCAATCGTGACTGAGCTTGACCAAGCCTTGGCAAGAGATACTCACTGTTTGCTCGTCTGTGACAGGTGTTGAAGCAACAGTGTCCACGGCCCTCTCCTCAGCATGCTGCAGCGACACGACAGCAGGTACAGCCCATGGGTGATACCACGCAGTGACCATGCGCCCAGAGGAAAGGGCACCCACCAACTAAACCTGCCCATGCCCCTTACACACAGCGTCCCCACCTCCCACTCACTGTTTGCTCGTCAATGACTGGATTTGAAGCAACTGTATCGACCGCTCTCTCTTCTGCATGCTGCAGCGACAGTAGGTACAGCCCGTGGGTGAGGTCCCGCATCGACCATGCGCCCATGCCACCTGCACTGGCCCGCACGCTCCTTGCCACGTCTAGGAGAACTCCCATGCGGATGCGCGGCAGGGAGTTGAGCGCACGCGCCACTGGCATGGAAGGAGGGGGGTGGGGGGAGGAGGAAATGAAGAGGTGGAAACAGGGGTGGGTGGGATATACGGGGCATATAGAACCAGATGCCCCCTGCGCTGGCGCACACGCTCCTTGCCACGTCTAGCAACACTCCCATGCAGATGCGCGGCAGGGAGGTGAATGCACTCGCCACTGGCATGGGGAGATAGGAGAGGATGAAATGAAGAGGGGGGAACAGGGGAGGGATATACGGGGCATACAGAGCTAAATGCCGCCTGCACTGGCACGCACACTCCTTGCCACATCTAACAGCACACCCATGCGAATGCGGGGGAGGGAGTTTGACGCACGGCCATAAGTTCGGGCCCAGCCTAAGATTCAGACGTACCAGGTGGGCCTTTGAAGCTGAGGGCGGGCGAGACAACCACATCAGAGATCCAGGAGAGAGTTCGGGAAGAGACTGTGATTTGGTTGCGACTCAAACACCCGTTCGGTGGACTCAAAGCACGCTCTGAGGCGCCTCAAAGCGGACCTACCAGGTGGGCCTGTGAAGCTGAGGGCGGGCGAGACAACCACATCGGAGATCCAGGAGAGAGTCCGGGAGGAGACAGCCAGCCCCCGCCGCAACACACTCTTGCGCTCCTCCCCAACTTCCTCCTCCAAGAATAACTCTTCCTCTTCCTCCTCCTCTTCTCCCCCCTCCTCCTCTTCCCCCCCCTCGTCGCCCTCTATTCCCTGGGTCTCCGTCTCCTGAGGTTTACACCCCTCCACCCCTCTTTCCTCCTCGTCCACTGTTGTTACTGCACCCAACACCTGACCCAACCGCTCCTGCCGAAACTCATAATGCCGTTCCAGCGGCCCTTCACTTACTATCCCAGCCTCTGCACCCGTGCTACTTCCTGTGCCCTCATGCGCCCCTCTGCTGCTCTCGTTGTCCTCTCTGACCGCCCTGACTGCTCCATTTGTGACACCAGTTGACACATACGCGTTATAAGCTGACACAGGTGGGATATCAGAAGCCAAACCTTCCCAACCACCAAGATCGTCCATACCTCTTTTGCTATCCCTCTTCATTTCAGCCCTTTCAGTAATTTCATGCCTTTCAGAGCTTGCTTTCTCTTCCCTATGCCACGTTCTCTGCCCCTGACCTTGACCACCTGAAACACCTGAACCACCTTGCGTATCCCAGGCGCCTGCTCTGCCGTTACTTTGGACTCTGCTGCCATTTGCACCCACACCGGCTGGATTAGACCGCACAGCATCATTCTCCACTGCACCCTTTGCTGCTTCACCCATCTCCACTGCGTGATACCCATCCCGCTCTTCAGCTTCACAGACCTCATGCTGCCCCTCCCACACACCACCACCACCCTTCAGCTTCCGAACCGCAAAGCTCACCACCGCACGGAACCCCTTCGCCCCTGAAGCAAGGCTCAAGGACCCCTTTCCTGAACCGAGACCTTCCCGTGTGCAGCTGACGTGGCTGCTGACGTGGCTGCTCATCGGATTTCTACTGCCGCTCTTGCTTGACCGGTCACTGCTCTTGCTGCAGCCGTCATGGCTGCTGCCACGTGGCTCGTCTGGTAACAGAGCAGAGGAGGAAACGGAGCGTCTGGATTGTGACGGAACTGAAAAACTTCTGAGTCGTCTCAAGAGTATGGTTCTACGGGGATCGTCTGGTATCAGAGCAGCGGAGGAGACTGAGCGTCTGCCAGCTGACTGAACTGGAAGGACGGAGGCCGGAGGGAGGTGGCTCTGCTGACGTGTCAGTGACGTCAGCGGGGAGATGCGAGTATGGTGTGTAGCCATGAAGCCGAGGGGACGGTGAAGGTTGCTGTGAGAGATGGGATTTCTTCGTCGAAAAACGTGAAGGCTGCTTGGAGAAACAGAAATGTTCCTTAGAGAAGCTGGAAGATAGCTGTTTCGTAGAAGCGCATACGGCAAGGGAGACTTTTGAGTCGACTCATAAGAAGCTGGAAGACAGCTATTTCGTAGAAGCGCATACGCCAAGGGAGGGTAGTCTTGGTGGAGGAAACTTGTGGAGCGGAACTGATGCTTCTTCGAATAATACTGCTCGAAAGAAACGGGCGAGACAAAGGAGGTAACACAAGCTCTGAGAGCTCTAGTAAATGAAACGCGCTATTAACAGATGAAACGCGCTATGAAGGGTTGGAAGAAACAGAATGAGAGGACTACAATTTGAAGGTCCAACGAAAGAAACCATTATTACTTTGCCTGATACGGAATCGCCGTTCTTTAATATTACCAGGCAGGGGGAAGCTGTCAATGGCGTCCGGAAAGCCGGTAGTACGTGCAGCAACTTGATGCTACTACGTAGCCTAATAAAGACCCCGACGGAAACTGGGAAGACAGATAACGAGAATCGCGCGGAGGTGACACCGAAAGTTCTTGAAACTAGTGCCATAAAAACACTCAGTCAACTCGCTGCCGTGACAAGGCGACTGTTCATTCCATTGAACGTAGACGCGCTGCGTCCTCGAAAGACTGGTTCACTCGGACCTAGAAACTGCTCGACGCGTGTGTCACGTCAAGAGTCTCCAACTCTCGGCCTCAGGTTTCAACTGGCAGTTGGAACGACATGAACCAGCCAGACCATGGCAGAAGCGTGCGACGCCATGACTGAATTCGACATTGGAATTGTCGCCTGACAACGAAGCAAATTATTTCTACCATTCGAAGTTGTATGGCCACTCACAACAAGACACAAGATCAACATATCACGCATCCAAGAATATGCGGAATTGAGAATGACTATCACATCATACAGCGCGGTATAATACGGTGTAAAGGAGCATAGTTGCTTATGTCACATCTGTCAGAGTGACTGTAGAGAATGTTCGTCTGGTGTAGAATACTTCTGGAAACTCCGGGATCGTGACAAGTCAGCATGACCGTTGGATGCAAAATTTGGACCATTGGGATGGAGTTATCCCGTCTGTCATCTCTATAGAGTTTCACGAAAACCAGCTCTCCTGAAAACAGCTTCCATGATGGCACTTCGTGTATGTTCTTCGCATTCAAACTGTAGCGAGCTAAATTTCTACTCACAATGTCAGCATGCAAAACCTTCGAATTGGCAGCAAATTCGTCAGATTGTAGCGAGTATTTGCATTCAGGCCATGTTCTACAGGCAGACGGGTATTGTTTGCTGCGCTCGGGCTTCGAACAGAGCCTGAATAGCCTGAATGTGGAGACTGAATATCTAGGCCGGACTCAACGTCCGCTGGATTGACAGAAAAGAGTGATTGCGTGCTTTTAGTAACGTCGGCTGTCTGTTGCTTGCGTAGTTCGTAGTTTAGCTAGTTCGTACTTTAGCTAGTTCGTAGTTTAGCTAGTTCGTAGTTTAGCTAGTCAACCGCCTGACTCTCTGCAGCGCGTTCAAACATGTCGGCTGCCAGCGCAATCAAGGCGAGTTTCACTGATGCTGACCAAAATGCTGACCTGGAGCAGCTGCGAGCGTTTATCGACACGTGTCCGCTTCTCGACCACCACTGCCACTGCCTGATGGAGCTAGAGCCTCCCGTTACAGTCACATCTCTCAGCAACGCGCTCCTAGGATCACTCACGGAAGCGCAGGGTAAAGCGCGAGAACAGGCAGTACACTCTATCGCCGTTAAGGTACCATATGTTCTGAATCTACTGACGGTTTTTTGCCTTCGCCTTTGACTTATCGTTCTCACGTCCTCTTTCCGCTCATTGGCCGTTCTTCTCTCCCATCATATTCACAACAATTTTAAACCAGTGCGTTTAGCACCCCTGGCGCCTCAAAGTCGGCTGTAAGACGGAATCTGTTTTTTTAGAGTTCCATAAAAACACGTCCTCTTTCCCCTCATTGGTCGTTCTTCTCTCCCATCATATTCACAACAATTTCAAACCAGTATGTTTAGCACCCCAGGCGCCTTAAAGTCGGCTGTAAGTCGGCCACTTCCTCTTCCCCCACTGTCCACTTCCGACCTCTACCACTCGACCCTCCTCCTCTGCTGTCCCTCCCTCCCCCTTTCACCCCCCACCCCCCCCCCCCCCCCCCCCCCCCCCTCCCCCCCTCCCTCCCCTTCCCTTCCCCTCCCGCCCCTCTGTTCCCCGTACCAGCGCAGTATTCGCGAGCTGGCTTCTGCCCTATCAGCGGACGCCACGTCACTGGAGGGAGTTGCCGCTGCTCGGCTGCAATTGGGCGAGGAAGCCACCAATCAGAAGCTGTTTGGTGCTGCGAGGATGTCTGCAATGCTTATAGACGATGGGCTCAAAGGCGGGGTGGCTCATAACGGGGATGTGAACTGGGGGACGGGAGGAGGAGAAAGCGGAGCGTATGAACCAGGTGCAGCAGAAGAAACAGCAGAAGTCGCGGCATCAGCAGCAGCACAACAGGGAGAAGAGAAAGGAGCTTTCGAGTCAACCTGCAGGCCACAGGAAGGAGAACAGCAGCAGCAGAGAGAGACGGAACAGCCAGGAGGAGAGCAGGGCAGGGGAAAGCGAGGAGAGTGTAAAGGGGAGGGGGGAGGAGGGGGGGGGAGGGGGAGGAGAGCAGAAGGAGCAGCAGGAGGGGCAGAGGTGGAGGTGGAGGGACGTGGCATGGCACGAGACTCTGGTGCCGGTGGTGCGGCGAGTGCTCAGGCTGGAAACCGTAGCGGAAGATATTTTGCTGGGACCAGCGCCAGGTGGCACGTGGACACTGGGCAGCTTCTCCAAGCAGTTCCACGAGGCCATTGACCCATATCCTCCCCCTCGTGCCTTCCCATGCTTTGTGTAAATGAAAAACGAGTTGACTTTTGAGTCGACTCAAAAGTCAACTCAGCTTCTCAAAGCAGTTCCATGATGCCATTGATCCATATCCTCCAGTCTGATACCTTCCAAGCCGTGTGTTTTCCTAGCTATGCTTATTGCTTGCAGCTTACCTTGCTCTTGGGACTCGAATCCCGAAAGAAATGGCTCTTGGCGAATGGATGTGATATCTTTCGTCCATCCATTCACTGACGCCGATTCAAACCATCCCCCGATTCACCCTTGTGGAAAAATAACGTTCGCAAACCATATTTTCAATCCACATTCCCAATCCGCTGCCGCAGTCCACATTTGGCCACCATTCGTTCTCCTTGACTTGTCGTGACTCCTCTTCACCTTTCCTTCATTCCTCTTGACCCATCTTGAACCATCTTGACCCTTGTTGACCTGTAATCACCGCACACCACCACCTGGAGTGGTGGCGTTTAAGAGCATTGCAGCCTACCGCTGTGGTCTCTCCATCGACCCTATTGTGACGCCATCTGAAGTGGATCTGGGCCTTCAAGCCACTCTGGGTGTGTATCATCTGTGTCGTCTTCTCTCCCACCATCCTCCAGCCATCTGATAAGGCGAGCAGCAGTCTAAAAGAATCGTTTAGCAAAAGGTTGACAGTAACGATCTGTTGTTGTCTCCTGCTGGGTGTGTATCATCTGCCTCGTCTTCTCTCCCACCATCCCCTTGCGTTCTCCCCTGTTCCTGATCCCTCTTGCCCCCTCCTCACCGATTACCGCCTTACAAGTCCTTTTAAAAGGAGCTCGCCATCTAGAATGGCTTGACCTGGCCCGTCATAGGCCTCCCCTGGCCCGTCATAGGCCTCCCCTGGCCCGTCATAGGCCTCCCCTGGCCCGTCATAGGCCTCCCCTGGCCCGTCATAGGCCTCCCCTGGCCCGTCATAGGCCTCCCCTGGCCCGTCATAGGCCTCCCCTGGCCCGTTATAGGCCTCCCCTGACCCGTTATAGGCCTCTCCTTTGGCCCTGTTTCACAATTCCTGCTTGAGTGGAGGTTAGAGTTCAAGCCATCATGGGTATGTCTGTTCTGTCCGTCCATTCCCCTGATTGGCTCCGTGTTATCATCTGTGTGCAGGTATGATGTTGGTGCAGGTATCATCCACCTACACTTCTCTTTTGTTGGTGCCAGTATTGCACCTAAATAGTCTCTTCCATTGCCTTATGGAGATCGTTGCCTTACGGAGGTCATTGCACTCTATTCTGTTTCATCGTTGATCATCCCTGTTCATGCCATCCCAATCCTCAGCTTCGGTAGTCCAAACCTGTCCGCCAAGCCTGCGTCTGTGTGACCCTCGAGTGATCAGTTTCTGCATCGCTACAGCCCGTGCTGTGGCAGCTAAGCATCAGTTGCCGCTGCAGATACACTGTGGGTGAGTCATGGGTTTATGTATGATGGTTTGGTTGATCAGCCTCTGTCGTTGCTGAATGGTGAATGCTTGATGATTAGTTTTTGCATTGCAACGGTTTTGCAGTGGTAGCCACGCATCAGTTGCCGCTGCAGATGCACTGTGGCCTGTGGGTGCGTGCGTGATGAGTTGTGGCATAGTTATCGTGAGGCACTATGACTGATCAGCCTTTGTGAATGTGAATGGTGGATGCTTGATGATTAGTTTCTGCTTTGCAACGGCCCTTGCTGAGTGGCCGCCAAGCATCAGCTGCTAAAAGTAAACGGTGACCTGTGGTTGCGTGCGTGATGAGTCGTGGCACAATGCTTGATTTGAGACGTCTCAAAACGTGATGAGTCGTGGCACAATGCTTGATTTGAGACGTCTCAAAACGTGATGAGTCGTGGCACAATGCTTGATCAGCCTGTGTGAATGTGAATGGCGGATTCTTGATGATCAGCTCCGGCATTGCAATGATCGTGGCTGACTGCCAGCTAGGCATCAGTTGCCGCTGCATTACACTGTGGCCTGTGGGCTGTGCGTGATGAGTTGTGGCATGGTAATCATGACTTGTGGCACTATGCTTGATCAGCCTTTGTAAATGCGAATGGTGGATGCTTGATGTATCAGCTCCTCCTTTGCAGATACACTGGCCCTGGCTGACTGGCTGGTAGCCAAGGACTAACAGCTGCCACTGCAGATACACTGTAACCTGTGGGTGCGTGGTGAGGTGTGGCATGGTTATCATAAGTTGTGGCACTATGCTTGATCAGCCCTTGTAAATGCGAATGGTGTACGTGTGATGTATCAGCTCCGGCATTGCAATGGCCCTGGCTGACTGGCAGCCAAGGACCAACAGCTGCCTCAAGCACCCAAGCAACAGCAGCCTCAAGCTGCCAAGCATCAAGTTGAGTCTTGTGGCAGGCAGGGGGGCTCTCCTTTTGCAAAAACTCTACAACAAGAATATGTTGGAAAATGCAAAACAGCGTCACGAACTTGAGAGGTCTCAAAGGCCCTCTCCTTCAGCACCTTTTGCAGAAACAGTACAAGAACATGTTGGAAAATGCCAAACAGTTTCACGAGCTCGAGCCTCTCCTTTGAGCATGCTCTCAGTTTGCTTCTTTTCTTAAACACTCGTCTCTTCACAACTGCACCATCAACACATTAAAACGTCCTCCGCTATCTTGCCTGAAAAATAAAAAAATAAAAAATCCCAAGATGCAAATTTCGCCTCCGTTTTCATTGCCTGAAATTTTGTAGTAAGTGCGTCCCCTTCTTTCTCCTTCCCTGTCCAGTTTTGGCGACAGGGATTTGGATCTAGCAGCAGCCAACCCCCTGTGCCTGCGCGCCCTCCTGGAATTCAATGAGGGGCTTGTGGAGGTGCCAGTGGGGGAGGTGCCAGTGGGGGACGCAACAGTGGGGGAGGCGCATGGGGAGGCACGTGGGGTGGGTCGCAGCTATGCAAGCTATGCGGCACCGATCGTTCTCCTGCACTCGTGCTACCCGTTCATGAGGGAAACTTCCTACCTTGCTTCTGTGTACTCCACGGTACGCCTTTCCATTTTGGCCTCTGTATGTGTGGTGTGTGTGTGTGTGTGTGTGTGTGTGTGTGTGTGTGTGTGTGTGTCCAAGTGTGTGCATGTGCCATACTCTCATCCCTGTGCCATGCCTTCCATCCTTCTTCTCAGGTGTACGTGGACTGTGGGCTGGTATATCAGCAGATCCGGAACTTAGGCATACCGCATGACACCTGTATGTGGTCCCATGCCTACAAGCGTCATCCCTGTGCCATGCCCTCCATCCATCTGTCTCAGGTGTATGTGGACTGTGGGCTGGTCTTCAGCAAGTGTGATACCAGATGTACCATGCCTACAAACGCCATACCACGTGTCCACCCCTGTTCCATATCTTCCATCCATCTGTCTCAGGTGTATGTGGACTGTGGGCTGGTCTTCAGCAAGCTCTCCCTCTCGGGCATGAAGGCTGCCCTCCTTGACTTGCTTGACCTCGCCCCTCTCAACAAGGTGCGTGGCCATTGACTTACCTCATTCACACCCATCCTTGACTTGCTTGACCTCGCCCCTCTCAACAAGGTGCGTGGCCATTGACTTACCTCATTCACACCCATCCTTGACTTGCGCTGACCTTGCTTGACCTCGCCCCTCTCAACAAGGTCCGTGCTTGTTGACTTGTCTCTCTCCCGCTTGACTTTCATTGACCTTGCTTGACCTTGCTCCCCTCCGTAGGGCTTCTGTCTCCGTCAACTTGCGTTGACTGCTGAGCCTTGCCCTTCTTGCAAGGACCCTCTGCTCGTCATCTATTCGTATTTTTGTTGGTCTTTTTGGCCGCAGGCGATTCTGTTTGCCAAATATTCCTGCAACTTCTTATCAAGGTGCATCATTACATGACGCCTGTTTTTCCACCCCACATATCAGGTCATTATGAGCACAGATGCTGTGGGATTCGCCGAGCCTTATTATTTGAGTAAGCTGTCGTTTTTTGTGAACGGGTTTACTAGTCTGTTACATATGATATGGTCTTTTATGCCAACTTTTCTTTATCTTTGTTTATTATCAGGTGCCATGTGGGGAAGGCGGATCCTCTTCCTTGCTCTTGCATCTATTGTGCAAGGAGGTGATCTCACTCTTTCAGAGGCTTTCCAAGCTGCATGTGGAATTCTGCACAACAATGCACTTCGACTGTATCGACTTGACATGCCGAGGGTTGTCCCCCCTCCAACCATGTAGTATTGTAAGTCGGTGGTACGTGTACAATAATCAGAAGATGTGAAGCATATAGTTTGCTAGAATTCTTTTTATTTGTGCAGTTACTCACTGTTTTCATCTCCAGGCATTTGTTTCTTTAAACGGATGTCCTTTTCAGTGGTTCGTGTTGTGGACGGAAGGTTCAGTGCACCTTTCCCCATTTCGTATTTGAGGCCAATCCGTGAATGCCAGCTCGTCCGTATTTGAGGCCAATCAGATGACCTTGGAGCAGCCGCAAGAGAACCAACAGCACACGCCAGACCAAGTCGCACAGATGGCAGACATGAGAGATGTGGCGAAAATGGCGCGCCGCGACGTTTTTTGGATCATGGCCCGCAGGAAGGTTACACCAGCGGCGCAAATATCCCCACACCACATGGTTTCCCCTGCCCACGTGGTCCAGCTCCCCAATGTTTTTGTGCAGCAACTTTTTTTACGATCCAATCGGAATCCCCCCCAACCACACGATTGCTCAGCTCCCAATTCCCCATCATCGTTCACAAATCACGACGCGAAGGGTCGTCACAAAAGCGCGTGCCCCCAAAAAAGTTCCTTATGGGCTCAACAAGGTGATATGCGTTCCAAAGCGGTGAGATTAGTATATAGAGCGATGCACCAGCGTGTCTGGTCGCGACGACTCACGATAATCCCTTCGTCACAGCAATCCCTGTTGTTGCCTTCACTAGTTTCTGCTTCTTGCTTCCTTTTCCCCTCTGTCTCCCGTCCCGCCCTTTGGAAGCAACAAGTTTTTGTTTGCTTGTTTGTGTTGGAGATAATCACGCTAAACGCTCCGTACTAAGACCGATGGCGTGATTTTCACCTATTGTCGGCATAATCTCCGCATCAAATCATGCGCATACTATGCGCCGCGAGAGCTTGCGTATTCTTAGCAACGGCTAATCTACTAGAGCTGCTATGACCGCAATTCTCTAAAATGGTCGATTATTGAAAAAATCCAAGCTCGGTTTTCTAGTAGCGAAGAAGGAGCTTGTTGCGATGTTTCTAGCTTTAACGACATTATGCGAAGGCCGTAATAGCTGTTGATCTCGAAAGCTTGTTGTCCAGGCTTCCACGTCAAACTTGACGCGAAATTGCTCGGATAGCCGTTTCTTTTGAGCTTTTGAAAGAGAAGCCGTCATGGGTCGAGGAAGGAATCGCGATGCGGAGTTCAAATTGCCGGAAAGCAGCCGGTTCGACAATGAGGACGTCGAGCTGTCGGTCGGCAAGCAGGTGCGAGGCCGTTGTCCATATTCAATCTAGAAATGTCGTTGAAAACTGACGGTCAGTCACCGTCAAACATCGTCCTGACAGCATTCGTTTCGTTATTTCGTGCGAAAACCGGCTTGGAGGTCTGGTGGACCTGGCCTCACGATTTTTCGTCATTCGTTCTCGTGAAGGGCGAACAGTTTTCGCTCTTTGTTCTTGTGGCTGGCGTGCCTTTGTCGTTCTCGTGACACGTCCTCCATAGAAAATGCAATCCCTCCCGCACGGTACCGCATTCTCGGGTGAATTAATGAGGATCGGACGGAGAAAATTTCACCCTGCTTCCAAATCTCAGATCAGGCGATGGGCCACGGAGACAATTCTCGGGCAGCCCTTCTGGCGATTCAACCGCGGCGGTGGCGACGACTCCGCGTCCACCTTCGCGGGGCGATGGCCTGGCGGCAGCGTCGGCGTGAGTTCCGGCATATCAGGCGTCAACACGGACGGCAGCACCTCGTTCTGGCTCGGCGCGCGCGGGGGCGACTCGGTGCGCGGCGGCTCGGTGCGGGGCCGCGCGATGCTGCAGCGGTCGACGACGTCCGGGATATGCATGCCGCGGAATATGGAGCTCGCGAGGCTGCGAGTGATCGACCCGGAAGACGCGTGAGTTGCTGCTACTGGATTGCTGGTGATGGGTTACTGTGGTGGAGGGTGGTGGTGAAGGGTGGGAGCAGGCGGGTGGCGCGATGCTGCAGCAGTCCACGACGTTTTGAATATGCATGCCGCGGAATCTGGGGCTCGCGTCGCTGCGAGTGCACTCGACTCGTGAGTTGCGGCCGCTAGAGTACTACTCGTGATATGCTGGGATGGAGGAGGACAAAATCCATTTCTTGCATTTCCTCCTGTGCCTCCTCACTTCACCTCCATCATTCCGCCTCTCTTCTCATTTTTCTTTCTGTAAATTGGCTGGATGAAATGGGCTTGAGTAATTCAATAATTTCTTGCCATTTCTCCTCTGCTTCCTCCCTCCCTCGCCCCTCCTTCTCCATCCCTCCACCCTCCTTCCTCGTCCATCCAGCTATCTGTTACTATGGGAGCAGGTGACTCTAATCCTGGGATTTTACTCCGCTTTAGTCACACCCTTCGAGTTCGCCTTCCTGGCGGACAGCATGCCCGTGTGGCTGACGTGGCTTGACGTGGCAGTCAACTTCTGCTTCCTGGCCGACCTCCTAGTCACATTCTTTGTCGCTTTCAAGGACAAGCACACCTACACGCTCGTTACAAGCCATTGGAAGATCGCAGAGAGGTGAATGGGGACGGGAGAAAGAGCGGTGGGGGAAGGGGATCCGGGGAACAAGGGGAGAGAGTGGGGGGAGTGGGTGAGGGAGAGAGTGAGGCGAGAGTGAGGGGAGAGGGGTGGAGCCACTCATTGTCAGATAGTAACGCTTGCCGATCTTCTCCCTGCCGATCCTTGTCACTCACCGCTTTCCCTGCTCTCACTGCTTTCCTCCCCCTCAACCCCCTCCCTTTCCCCCCCCCCCCCACCCCCCCTTTCCCCCCTTTTATCTGTCCCCCACCCCCATCGCCTCGCTGCAGATACCTTTTCTCCTTTTTCCTCTCTGACCTTGTGATATTTTCCTATCACTGCTCCCCTGTACTCACTGGTGTCAACCTGGTGCCCTCCCCCCGCCTCTATCCCCCTTTCGTACTCCCCTCCCTCCCACCCCCATCGTCTCGCTGCGGGTATCTCCTTTCCTACTTTCTCACGGATCTGCTCGCGTTCTTCCCCTTTCACTCCGCTCAACCCCCCCCCCCCCCTTCCCTCCCCCACCAACATCCCCTTGCTGCAGGTACCTCCTCTCCTACTTTCTCACGGACCTGCTCGCAATCTTCCCCTTTCCCTGCGCTCACTACTGACAGCCCTCCTTTGCCACACTCCTTCCTCCCTCACCATCCCCGTTGCCTTGCTGCAGGTACCTCCTCTCCTACTTTCTCACGGACCTGCTTGCGATCTTCCCCTGGAACACCTTCTACCAGGTACGTGCAACTATTCAGTCGACTCAATGTTGCTTGTTATATTGTAAAGAGGCGACTCTTAAGGCAGCTGGAAAGCCACCTCATGGGCCTGCTTGTGCTCTTTTCTCATGGATTCCTCCCAACCCTCCCACCCATTCACCCACATACCCACCCGCCCATCCACCCACCAGCGCACACACCCACCCTTCCACCCTACCCCTCTCTCCTCATTGTGCTGTGGCTCAGCTAGCAGGCGCCAGTGGAACAGCCATCCTGCTGCAGTGGCTGCTGTCGACTCGAGTGCTCCTTGGAAACTATGCACCCAATGAGCCTCCTCCTTCCTCCCATTCCCCCTCCCCCCCCCTCCCCCCACTCTGCCCTTCAGCTAGCCGGCGCCAGTGGGGCAGCCAACCTGCTGCAGTGGCTGCTGTGGACTCGAGTGACCAAGGAGTGTTCCTTGGTCTTTGCCATCTATACACTCAATGAACCTCCTCCTTCCTCCCTTCCTCCCTTCCCCCACTCCCCCCACTCTGCCCTGGGCTCAGCTAGCCGGCGCCAGTGGAGCAGCCAACCTGCTGCAGTGGCTGCTGTGGACTCGAGTGCTCAGGATGCGACACCTCTTCAGATACTTCCACAGGTGAGCTGGACGGTGCCTTCAGGTGATTTGCCAGGTTCTTCAGTCAATCACAACCATATCCTGATCTCTAGTTATCATATAGAGCTTGAAGTTTTGCTTCTTGGGGCACTTGAGTTGAGAGCCCAACCACCCTCTCCCCCTAACCCTTCGCCCACCCCTCCCCCTACCACTTCCCCTCCCCCTCCCCTTACCCCTCCCCCTCCCCCTTCCCTTACCCCCCCACCTCCACCTCCCCTTACCCCTCCCCCTTCCCCCTCCCCTTCTATCCCCCCGCGCACCCACCCACCAACGGGACATCCGTTTAAGCTACTTTGCCGCCCGCTTTTTAAAGCTCATAATCGTGGAGATGTACATCACACACGTCGCCTCTGTTCACACCAAATCTCCCCACCCACACTCTCCCCACTCGCACTCTCCCCACCCACACTCTCCCCACCCACACTCTCCCCACCCACACTCTCCCCACCCACACTCTCCCCACCCACGCTCTCGCCACCCACACTCTCCCCACCCACACTCTCCCCACCCACGCTCTCGCCACCCACACTCTCCCCACCCACACTCTCCACCAGGCTCCAGAGGGACATCCGGATCAGTTACTTCGCCGTGCGCTTCCTGAAGCTGATCATCGTCGAGATGTACATCGCGCAGGTCGCCTCTGTTCACACCCACACTCTCCCCACCACACTCCACCAGGCTACAGAGGGACATCCGGCTCAGTTATTTCGCCGTCCGGTTCTTGAAGCTGATCATAGTGGAGATGTACATAACGCACGTCGCTGGCTGCTTCTTCTACTTCCTCGCCACCACCATGCCACCGGAGGAGCAGGGCTACACATGGATCGGCTCACTCACCCTCGGCGACTTCTCATACGAGAACTTCCGGGAGGTGGACCTGTTCACGAGATACGTGACGGCGCTGTATTGGTCCGTGGTGACCATGGCAACAATCGGTTACGGTGATATTCATCCGGTCAATCCGAGGGAGATGATCTTCGCCATGTTCTACATCACAGTGGATCTGATCCTCTCAGCTTATCTCATCGGTGAGTTTCTCTGTCAGTAGTGAGCCAAAGGTACCTCTCCTCTTCTCTCCTCTCCTCTCCTCGCATTTATCTCATTTCTTCCCCCCCTGTGCGCATTATTTCAGGAAACATCACTGCACTGGTGGTGAAGGGCAGCAACACCACCAAGTACCGGGAGCGCATGGCTCAGGTCATCAAGTACATGAACCGAAACCGCATTCCCCGAGTGCTGCGCCACCAGATGCGCCAGGTGAGAACAACAGACAAGGCAAATGAATGAAGGGTTGGGATTCCGGATTTTCACTTCTCTCTTGCATCACACAGCACGTGCGCCTGCAGTTCGAAACGGATCAGGTGGAGGACAACAATCTCAACGACTCTCTTTCTTCGCCCTCCCCCATTCTCTTCCTCTCGCTATTTCCGTCATTCACCCCTTATCCCTCTTCCCACAGCACGTGCGCCTGCAGTTCGAGACATACCAGGCGGAGGACAACATTCTCAACGACTTCCCTTTCCCCTGCGCCCGCCCTTCTCCCCGCCCCGCCCCCCCTGCCATCACAGCACGTGCGCCTGCAGTTCGAAACGGATCAGGTGGAGGACAACAATCTCAACGACTTCCCCTTCTCCACCCTTCTCCTGCTCTCTCTTCTCCACACCCTTTATCCTTTCCCCCCCCTGCCATCACAGCACGTGCGCCTGCAGCTCGAAACGGATCAGGTGGAGGACAACAATCTCAACGACTTCCCCTTCTCCACCCTTCTCCTGCTCTCTCTTCTCCACACCCTTTATCCTTTCCCCCCCCTGCCATCACAGCACGTGCGCCTGCAGCTCGAAACGGATCAGGTGGAGGACAACAATCTCAACGACTTCCCCTTCTCCACCCTTCTCCTGCTCTCTCTTCTCCACACCCTTTATCCTTTCCCCCCCCTGCCATCACAGCACGTGCGCCTGCAGCTCGAAACGGAACAGGTGGAGGACAACAATCTCAACGACTTCCCCTTCTCCACCCTTCTCCTGCTCTCTCTTCTCCACACCCTTTATCCTTTCCCCCCCCTGCCATCACAGCACGTGCGCCTGCAGCTCGAAACGGATCAGGTGGAGGACAACAATCTCAACGACTTCCCCTTCTCCACCCTTCTCCTGCTCTCTCTTCTCCACACCCTTTATCCTTTCCCCCCCCTGCCATCACAGCACGTGCGCCTGCAGCTCGAAACGGATCAGGTGGAGGACAACAATCTCAACGACTTCCCCTTCTCCACCCTTCTCCTGCTCTCTCTTCTCCACACCCTTTATCCTTTCCCCCCCCTGCCATCACAGCACGTGCGCCTGCAGCTCGAAACGGATCAGGTGGAGGACAACAATCTCAACGACTTCCCCTTCTCCACCCTTCTCCTGCTCTCTCTTCTCCACACCCTTTATCCTTTCCCCCCCCTGCCATCACAGCACGTGCGCCTGCAGTTTGAGACAGATCAGGTGGAGGACAACATACTCAACGACTTCCCTGTGAGCATCCGTCACAAGGTGGCGCGGGCGCTGTACCGGCGCCTCGTGGAGCAGAGCTACATCTTCCAGGGGTGCTCGCCCGAGTTCATCAACCAGATCGTGAGTGGTGGGGGGGGAGGGGGGAGGTTCTAGTGTGGTAGGGGAAGGTGCTTGTGAGTCGTGGGGATAACGTGATGCCAGAGCTGTACTGATGGCGTGATGCCAGAGCTGTACTGATGGCGTGATGCCAGAGCTGTACTGATGGCGTGATGCCAGAGCTGTACTGATGGCGTGATGCCAGAGCTGTACTGATGGCGCCTGGTGGAGCAGAGCTACATCTTCCAGGGGTGCTCGCCCGAGTTCATTAACCAGATCGTGAGTGGAGAGGGGGGGTGGGTGTTGTGCAGTGAGTGTGGTGCTTTTGAGTCCTAGGAATGGCGTCAAGCAAGGGTGCTCCACTGGAGGCTGGTGGAGCAGAGTTGACCAAGGTAGCCCCAGGGCACTACGTTCCTTCGGAGGTGGTGATTCAGCACTGCGACTCCCCCGAGCGGCTCTACATCATCTGCTGTCATTCCCGTACCTTCCACCCCACCCCACCGCACCCCACCGCACCCAACCAACTAGGTCACTAAGGTAACCCCAGAGCATTATTTCCCATCGGAGGTGGTGATTCAGCACCGTGACTCCCCCGAACGTCTCTAAATCATCTGCTCTTATCCCGCTCCCACACACATTACTTTCTATTGAAACCTTCCATCGCACCGCACCCCACCCCACCCCGCCTACCAGGTGACCAAGGTAACACCAGAGCACTACTTCCCCTCGGAGGTGGTGATTCAGCACAGAGACTCCCCCGAGCGGCTCTACATCATCTGCTCAGGCAACGTGGAGGAAACCTCTCCCTCCGCCTCTAGATCATCTTCTCTTATCCCCCACTGCGCTCTCGCAGGTCACCAAGGTAACGCCAGAGCACTACTTCCCTTCAGAAGTCGTGATTCAGCACAGAGACTCCCCCGAGCGACTCTACATCATCTGCTCAGGCAACGTGGAGGAAACCTCTCCCTCCACCTCTAGATCATCTTCTCTTATCCCCCACTGTGCTCTGGCAGGTGACCAAGGTAACACCCGAGCACTATTTCCCTTCAGAAGTCGTCATTCAGCACAGAGACTCCCCCGAGCGCCTCTACATCATCTGCTCAGGCAACGTGGAGGAAACCTCTCCTTCCTCCTCTGCTGACGGCGGCCGGCACTTCTCAGAACTCACCACAGGCTCGGTGGGTGGGTTTGATTTGTCAGTGGCTCATGCTGTGGCGTGTTGGGTGTGGGGTGTGGGTTCAGTCAGGGGGGCTCCCTTCCATCCCCCCCCCCCCTCCCCCCGAGCGCCTCTACATCGTCTGCTCAGGCTGTGTGGAAAAACCCTCTCCTTCCTCCTCTGCTGACGGCGACCGGCACTTCTCAGAGCTCGCCACCGGCTCGGTGGGTGTGCCTCCTCAGTGGTTCTTGCTGTTGGGCGGTATTCTGTGACTCGTATGTGGGTTGGGTCAGTCAGTGGGGCGCCCTCTCTCCCCCGATCTGCTCGGGGAGTGTGGAGGAAGCCTCTCCTTCCGCCTCTGCTGACAGCGGTCGGCACTTCTCAGAACTCGTCACCGGCTCAGTAAGTGGGTCTGTCTTTTCCGTGATTCTTGCTGTGGGGCGTGGGGTGACTCTTGCATGGGGTGCGGTGGGGTGGGTTGAGTGAATCTTGCATGGGTTGGGGTGACCCTCCTGTGCCGTCGATGCTGACGGCAAACTCTTGGCCCACCTCTGGTCAGGCGCTGTGAGTTGGCATTCTGATTTGATCTGTTTGCTCTGTGTTCTCTTTGTTTTTTCTGCTTGCTCGCTTGTTGATATTATAAGAGGCAACATATCGCAGCCCCTCTCTCGCCCACCTGCGCACCTGCCCACCTGCCCACTGTCCCCTTCTCCTCCCTCAGATGTTCGGCGAGGTGGCCGTGCGCTGCAACATTCCACAGCCCTTTGACCATTTTTTAGACGCCTCAAATATCTTTCCCGCTCCCCCTGGTTCCTACCTACCCCTGGCCCCTTCGCCCCTTTCCAGATGTTTGGCGAGGTGGCCGTGCTCTGCAACATTCCACAGCCCTTTGACGTCTCGGTTATTGAGTTCTGCCAGGTACGTCCGTTTTGTCAGCCTCATGTTAAATTTCTACGCCCTGTGTTGCCTCGAAATTTAACTTGAGTCGACTCAGAAATGAAACACCCCGCACGCAACCCATCAACGTCTCGGTCATCGAGTTCTGCCACCCAGATAAAACCCTTCAATAAGTCTTCAATCAGCCTCAAAAGTCTCGTTCTGTTTCACCGTGACCAACTCAGTTGTACTCTTTTCTTCCTGGCATGCTGTTTGGCAAGTCATTCTGATCGGGTTTCACAAAATACTGTTCAAGGCCCCCCAACCCTTGCTGCCACTCAGGTGCTTCGGCTGGAGCGGGAGGATCTGAACACGGCAATCAACACATTCATGGTGGACGGCAGGAAGATCGTCGACAACCTGCTGGAGGTGAGCGAGTGGGTGACTGCTTTTGCGGCTGAGTTGAATACCCTTGCTGCCACTCAGGTGCCAACTGGAGAGTGAGGATTTGAACACGGCGATCAACCCGTTCATGGTGGACGGCAGGAAGATTTTCGACAACCTGCTGAAGGTGAGCGAGTGTTGTTGTTTTTGTTGCGAGCGTTACTGGCGTCAGAAAAAGAACCTCTCTGATCGCGCAGCAGGAGGCAGAGCTCACGATGACCACCCCTCCCAACCCCTTCCACCCCTCGCCTAACACCCATGCATCCCATCTTATCCGCTCCCCGCCCACTCCACCAACAGCGCACAACGGAAACGGGCAGCAAGTACGCGTTACTGGCGTCGGAAATCACATCTCTGATCGCGCAGCAAGAGGCAGAGCTGACGATGACGACCATCTATGCGGCCTCGCGAGGGGACATAGAGCATCTGAAGCGGCTCATTAAGGCCGGGGCGAATGCTGGGAAAGCGGACTATGACGGGCGCACACCTCTGGTAAGTCTCGTGGTAGTGGGGGGAGGGAGGGCACCTTTGTTCATGCCTAGTGGGATGAGCTCACGAGGACGACCATCTATGCGGCCTCACGAGGGGACATCGAGCACCTCAAGCGTCTCATTAAGGCCGGAGCGGATGCGGGCAAGGCGGACTGGAGACGACTTTTGAGGCGCCTCAAAAATCAAGGCTGGGGCGAATGTGGGCAAGGCGGACTATGATGGGCGCACAGCACAGCAAAGAGGGGCTATGATGAAGTTGTTCGCTTCCTTCCTGCTACTGATGGCGCATATGTGATCAGTCTCTGGACAACCTTGGCACAACATCCTCTGTCCTCATCCTCCCCACTACCATCCCTCCCATGCCTCCCATCTCCCCCCCTAGCACCTGGCAGCAGCAGGCGGGTACGATGAAGTGGTGCGTTTCCTGCTCCTAGAGGGCGCGGATGTGAACAGCCTCGACAACTTCGGCACCGCATCCTCTGTCCTCATCCTACCTTTCTCCCCACTACCATCCCTCCCATGCCTCCCATCTCCCCCCCCAAAACCTGGTGGCAGCAGCAGGCGGGTACGATGAAGTAGTGCGCTTCCTTCTCCTAGAGGGCGCGGGTGTGAACAGCCGTGACGACTATGGCACCACGCCGCTGCTGGGAGCACTGAGAGCAGATGTGACGGGCCTTGATTGATACTGAAAGTCCCTCCATCTCTCCAACGTCGCCCCCGTGTCCCCTGTCTCTTCCCTCCGACCTTTCGTCAGCACCTGGCAGCAGCAGGCGGCTATGACGAAGTTGTTCGTTTCCTTCTATTGGAGGGCGCGGACGTGAACAGCCTTGACAAATCTGGCACCAAGTCGCTGCTGGAAGCACCTCATCTCCCCCATCGATCCCCCACCCTTTCCAATCCTCTCCCCCATCTTCAGCACCTAGCAGCAGCAGGCGGGTACGATGAGGTCGTTCGATTCCTGCTACTAGAGGGAGCGGATGTGAACAGCCTTGACAACTTTGGCACCACAGCCTGTGTTGTGATCCGAGGCTGACATCTCCCCGATCCACCCTACCTCTCCCTTCCCATCCCTCCCATCCTTCCCCCAGCACCTGGCAGCAGCAGGGGGCTACGATGAAGTGGTTCGCTTCCTGCTACTAGAGGGAGCGGATGTGAACAGCCTCGACAACTTCGGCACCACGCCGCTGCTGGAGGCGCTGAGGGCGGGCAATGACTCGACGGCTAAGATCCTGACGGACAAGCACGGCACGGTCAACCTGCAGGTGAGAGGGTGTGTGATGGTATGTGGTGTGATGGTATGTGGTGTGATGGTATGGGGTGTGGTGGTATGTAATGTGATGGTCTGTGGTGTGATGGTCTGTGGTGTGATGGTATGGGGTGTGATGGTATGGGGTGTGATGGTATGGGGTGTGGTGGTATGGGGTGTGATGGTATGGGGTGTGGTGGTATGGGGTGTGGTGGTATGGGGTGTGGTGGTATGGGGTGTGGTGGTATGCAGCAGTGTGCCTACAGTGCACTGTTGGAAGCACTGAGTGCGGGGAATGACTCCACGGCTAAGATATTGACGGACAAGCACAGCACTGTGAACCTGCAGGTGCGAGGGTGTGTGATGCACAGGCCCATACACATATGGCGGTATGGGGTGTGATGGTAAGGGGTGTAAGTGACCTTGTGTATGTGACCTTGCAATGTGTAGAAAGTGTATTTTTGAGACGTCTCAAGCATACACGTATGGCGGTATGGGGTGTGATGGTAAGGGGCGTAAGTGACCTTGTAGTCAAGGTCTTCTCCACTCCTGCAGTGCTCCCCTTCCCATCCCCTTCCCATCCCCTTCCCATCCCCTCTTCCCCCTATCCTACTCCCACCCACACGATCCCTTGAATCCCAGGAAGCAGGCACAGACCTATGTAACGCAGTGATGAGGGGTGACACAGGACTGCTGAGAAGGCTGCTGGTCAACGGAGTCAACCCCAATGCAGCCGACTACGACCTCCGCACACCTCTCCACATCGCACTTGCCCTGCTCCCCCTCCACACTCCCCTCCCCTCGCTCCCAACTTTCTCCACATCCCGTGCCCCTCCCCTCCCATCTTTTCCCCATCCCCACTTCCCCCTACCCCACTCCCACCCACCCACATGAACCCCTGTCTCGCAGGAAGCAGGCACAGACCTGTGTAACGCGGTGATGAGGGGCGACACAGGACTGCTGAGGAGGCTGCTGGTCAACGGAGTCAACCCCAATGCGGCCGACTACGACCTCCGCACGCCCCTCCACATCGCATCCGCCGAGGGATTCGTCCAGGTGGCGCGCATGCTGGTGGAGCATGGTGCTGACGTGGCAGCGCTGGATAGGTGGGGCAACTCGTCACTGGATGAAGCGCGCCGATGTGGCAGCCTGCCATTGATCCACCTGTTGGAGGAGGCCATGCGGGAACGAGGGCTTGAGATTGGTGGAGGATCCGTTGACGATGGTGCTGAGAGGGAAGGGGGGGAAGATGGAGGAGCAGGAGCAGAGGCAGGAACAGGGCCAGGGAAAACAGCAGCTGCTGCTGCTGGTGCTGCAACGGCTGCTACAGCCGTGGCTGCTGCGTCTCTCAACGCCTCGGCTGCTGCTGGAGCATCCCCTATGCCAGCAGCACCCTCTGCTGCCATACCCCCTGCTACTCCTGCCACTACTTCTTCCGGTGCCTCCACTACCACTGCTGCTCCTCCTGCCGCTACTGCTGCTGCTCCTGCTGCGGCTGCTGCGGCTGCTGCTGCTGCTGCTGCTGCTGCTGCCTCTGCAACTGGTGTGGCAGTGTCAGGCACTCCCTATCCATCCACCCCATCCCCCACCCCCCTGCCCCATTCACACCCCGAGGCAACACGCGCCACCTCCACCCCCCCCTTCCCCAACTCCCACTCCCTCACACGCTCCCAACCCTCCCCGCTCCTCGGCCCTGCTGACGCGGACTGGGACCGCATCACCGAGGATGGCTCGGCAACTCCCCGGATCGGCATGTCAGGCTCGGGAACGCCGCTACTGAGCGGGTCCGGCACGCCCCAGAGGAGAGGACCGGGAACGTCGCCTGGGAGGGGGCAATGGAGGCCCCCTGCGGGTGCTGGGGTGAGGAGGACGGGCGGGAGGGCTGGAGGGACGGGGTATAGCAGCGGCGCTGGTGCTGCTGGTCCGGCTGGTGGTGCCGGCATGGGAAGGCTGGTTCCTTTGGGGCCCAAGGTGAGTTTTTTCCATTATTTTACCGGTATTATTTTCCTGTGATGTTTTTTTTCTTCTTTTTTTCTGGTTGTCAGGTTTTTATGACATGTATGTTGTTTCCCTTCGTGCTTGCGATCGTGATTTTGAAGAGCTCAGAGTCTCTTTCTTTGTTGAATAAACATCCACAAATGTGGTATCTCCAACACACAGGCCCCCCACCATCCAATGTACACAGCCGCCCTTCTGATATTTTAACATCATTTTTTCTCCTTACTCCCCTTGCCCACTCCCTTCGTTTTCATCCTTGGTTCGTCCCTCTTCTTGTCAGAGAATCACTGTGTTCCCCTTCCCCCCATGGGAGCTAAAGCCTCAGAGAGTTGGGCAGCTTATGCCGCTCCCTCCATCCATCCCTGATCTCCTATCAACTGCTTCCAGTATTTTTGGCGCGTCTTATGTTGGTTTGGTTGGGAGCGATTTGGGGGTTGTAACAGCCATTGAGTTGATTAGGGACGGAGATAAGTTATTTCTATTAAAGTCAAATGAGATGCACGGAGATGCCCAGTCAGGTGGGCAGTAGATGTCCTTTATTGAAGATTATGTATCCTTACCGATGCCATATCATCTATATGCAATGTATATGTATTTTGTATTTAAATGAGGTATAAGATTAGTGGATGTGTGAGAATATTGTTTACTATGTAAGATATCCTGCGTCCATAAAAGCGACTGCTAGCTGGTGTAGAAAGTGGTCCCGCCTGTACCACGCAAGCTTCAAGCGGAAAAGCCGAAGTTCCCCCGAACTTCCACTGCGGCCACGTCATCAGCGACGGCGCCACAACGGAGGAGCTTATTTCCATGAAAGAAGGGCGGTACAGATCGACGTAAGTCGGTTTTACTCGGTGTGACAAAATCAGGGAGGTCTTACAAAGAGGGAGAGGATGACTGACTGGGAGAGGGAAAAACAGCTCAACCTAGCTATTCCAGAGACGATCCCATGCTTTCCTCCATGATTTCACAACTCATCAGATCACTCGTGTTTCGTGCTCATGACCTCGCTCCACTAGTGGTTGGTAAAGCGGGTGATTGCAGCCTACATTCCCAAGGTTACAGCTACTCCTGGGTTAGTTGATTGACGTGATCTCGGATTACCTCGTGCCCGTATTCCTGTCCTGGCTCGTATTCTCAGAAGGGTCTCCCGTTCCTAGGACGTTAGGTTCCGAGAGAAGAGAGATTTGAATAATGGACTTAGCGACACCGTTTCTCGGCGACGTTCGCCTGGTTGATCGTTCGCGCCCTTCGCCATCGTCTCGCCCTTCCACGAGCCCAAGTCATCTCATTCTACATTCTCCTCTCCCGTCATTACCACCTTGTCGCGTCAGTCCCTCGCCTAAGTGTAACTTAGCTAAACGTCCACCGCGTCCCGTCCCTCCACGACCGAAGCCCCAGCGACCAACAGATTCCGCTCGTTTAAACGACTCTCAGGATTCCCCCATGCTCGGCAGTAGCACATCAGCTGCTGGAACCCTCTCACGGGAAGGAGACGGATCTTCCCCGCAGCAAGCTGATTTTCCTCTTCCATCCGGGGGAAACAAGCTCCCCTTTTCTTCCCGAATTCCACCGCCGCTCCCGCGGAGACCCGCCGCGACGCACCGCCTCCGCCGGCTACGGAAGCGAACGGCCAACGGCACGTTCTACCTGTCGGACGAGCTCGCGGATATCACGGAAGTCTGGTCTTCGTCGATCCTCCTCCGTCCGCCGGCGGAATCCAACGGCGGAGACGCGACGTCTGGGAACTCTCCGCCTTCTTCTCCTCCTTCTCCTTCACCTGCTTCGTCAACATCCGGCAATATCGAGGCGCCTATTTCACTAGGGGAAGAAGAGTTAGGAGAAGTTCCAGTGGTATCTGAAAGCGGCTCGGGTGTAGCGACGTCGAGTGTGGTGTCAGAACTCGTGGCTCGAGTGGCGCGCGAGCCGATAGAGACTATAGAAAGTCTAGACCTGTCGCGAGTGCTTGAAGCGGAAGTGGGACCCGACGGGGTTTTAACTGAAGGAGTGGCGTCGGCGGTGTTGGTGGAGCTGAGTCGCGCCGGCAAGAGCCGGCACGCTCTGAAACTCTTTGACTGGCTCAAGGTAAGTTATACTTTCATTTAGTTGGGGTTCCGGGTTCTAATCGAGGTTTTTGGTTGGGGCTGCAGGGTTGAACCAAATAATATAAGCTCCTGTCTTCTCTTCCTCGCTTTACACCTCCTCCCGCTTTAACCCCTCTACACCCCCGCCAAGCCCCCTCCCCCTACCCTTCCCTTGTCCAGGCTCGGGCGTTTCTCCTGTCCACGTCAGCACACACCGCGTTGATCGCTGCATTGGCGCGCAGCGGGCCGTACGCTGACGCGGCGCGTGTACTGGCAGGCATGCGCGCCGCGGGGCTGTCTCCCACCGTCCACGCGTGCACCGCCGCCATGCAGGCCCAATCACGCGCCGGCAGGTGGCGCGCGGCGCTGCTGCTATTGGAGGAGATGCGAGGCATGGGGCTGAAACCGGATACCATGGCTTATAATGCCGTGCTCACTGCATGCGGAAGGTGAGTTTGCTGAGTGTGATTGTATGGAGGGTGCTTGCAGGAGGAGATGCGAGGCATGGGGCCCAAGCCAGATACGATGGCTTATAACGCGGTGCTCACTGCGTGTGGAAGGTGCGAGTGTGTGTGGAAAGAGAGTTTGGGGGAAGTGAGCATGGTGAAGGTGCGAGTGTGTGTGGAAAGAGAGTTTGGGGGAAGTGAGCATGGTGAAGGTGCGAGTGTGTGTGGAAAGAGAGTTTGGGGGAAGTGAGCATGGTGAAGGTGCGAGCAGGAGGTGATGCGAGGCGTGGGTCTGAAGCCGGATACCATGGCGTATAATGCTGTGCTCACTGCATGTGGTGGACGGTGAGTGTGTGGAGTGTGAATATATGGAACGTGAAGTGAGCATGGTGAAGGCACGTGTTTATCGAGATGCGAGGCATGTGGCTGAAACCGGATGCGGTGGCTTATAATGCGGTGCTTACTGCGTGTGGAGGGTGAGTGTGCGGAGTGTGAGTATGAGTATGGATACAATGGCCACACTCACTGCGTGTGGATGGTGGTGAGTGTGTGAGAGGCGAGTGTGTTCAATCTCCTTGTTCCATCTCTCCCCACCCCACACCATCCCTCCCTCGCGGTTCACTAGGGCTGGTAGCGTGCAGGCAGTGCTGGGGATGTACCAGGCCATGCAAGACGACGAATGCCGCCCTTTTTGTCCATGCTCTGAGTCTCTCCCCCCGTTATTCTCTCCCTCCCCCACACTGTTGCCCGTGTTCACCAGGGCCAGTCGCGTGCAGGAGCTGCTGGGTGTATACCGTGCCACACAGGACGACGAATGCCGCCCCTTTATTCCATCCTCACAATCCCTTCGCCCCTTCGACGCTCCCCCACGCACCCTCCCATGTGCTCTGCTCAGGGCTGGTCGCGTGCAGGAGGTGCTGGGAGTGTACCAGGCCATGCAGGACGGCGAATGCCGCCCGCCCACCGGCACGCGTGCACTGCTCATGAGCACGTTCGTCCGCGCCGACCGCTGCGACCTGGCGCTGCAGCTGTTCTTCGATGCCAGGCTGGCAGGCCAGCCCGTGACCCCGGACATGCACAGAGGATTGATTTGTGTCGCTTCAAAGGTCAGTACACCTTGTCAAGTCCCGACCGCTGCGATCTGGCGCTGCAGCTGTTCTTTGGTGCCAGGCTGGCAGGCCAGCCTGTCACCCCCGACATGCACAGAGGACTCATCTGTGTGGCTTCAAAGGTTAGTAAGTCGGAGGCCTGGTTATGCTGTACGTGGCGTTGTTGTTTTGTGTCCAGGGCTAACAACCATTGTGATAGCCAGGCAGCTGTTCTCTGTGATAGCCAACCGCTGTGATGTGGCGCTGAAGCTGTTCTTTGTCGCGCGGCTGGCAGGCCAGCCTGTCATTCCCGACATGCACAGGGGGGTGATCTTTGTCGCTCCAAAGCTAGCGTACTCCGCTCGCATGTGCATCCCACCTCCTCCCAAGTTTTATGTTTTAAGCCGTCTCCGTTTTCCCTATTTTACCGCCCCTCCTTCACTCTCGTGTTGTCCTCCCCGTGTTTCGACTATCAGGTGGATCGCTGGCCCCTCGCTTTAGACCTCCTGGACGATCTCCTTGCCACGTGGACAGACCCGGGGGCTGCGGTTGAATCGGCAGCAGGGGTTGCAGCATCCGCCACTTCACGTATGGAGAGTGGCCCTCCTGCTCCGGATGGTTCTTTTGAGGCTAGGCAGGACGAAGGGTCTGCTGCTGCTGCTACAGTAGCAACTGCTGCTGGTGATGCTGCTGGGGGGAGCAGACGCAGGTCGTCCGATGCTGGGAGTGGGGAGCGGTGGGAGGGGGTGAGCACGTGGGGCGAGGTTTTGGGAGCGCCCAACTCTGCTCTGCCCTTCAACGCCCTCATCTCCTCCCTGGCTCGTGCAGGTATGCTGCCGCATCTCCCTCTCTCTCTCCCCCTCTCTCTCCCTCTCTCCCCCCTTCTTTCCCACTCTCTCGCCCTTACCACTCCCTCATCTCCCAGCTCCTCCCCATGTCCTCCTGATACCCTCCCTTCCGCCCCTCCCCTCCGCCCCTCCCCTCCTCTCCTCTCCTCCCTTCCCTTAGGCCAATGGCAGGTCGCTCTTTCAGTCTTCTCCCGCATGAAGAAACTGGGAATTCCTCCGGACCACTTCACGTGGTCGGGGCTAGCTTCGGCGCTGGGTCGGGCAGGCGAATTCGACCGAGCCATGGCATTATTCGAGCACATGGGGGAGAGGGAGGGGCTGGAGCCGACACTGGTGGTGTGTAATTGTGCACTGCTGGCGTGTCAGCACAAGGCCAAGTGGCAGAGAGCGCTGCAGCTGCTGTGGCGGATGGAGAGGATGGGAGTACAAGCGGACGTGCGGAGCTACAGCATGGTCATTCGAACATGCGAGCTTGCAGGTATGTGTGAGCTTGAGAGGCTGTGCAAGGCCCAGTGGCAGAGGGTGGTGAGTTAGACAGGTTCAGGGAATAGGAGTGCAGGCGGATGTGAGGAGCTACAGCATCGTGATTAACCCTAAACCCTGAACTCGCAGCTATGTGTGAGCTTGGAACCGACTGAAAAGTCACCTCGTTTTGGAGTCGATTCAGAAGGGGCTGTTGAATCGGACTTGAGTGAATGTGTTAAACGCCCCATGCCCACCCTCCTTTTCACCCTCCCACCACCCCACGCCATTCCTCTATCCTGCCTACCCCCTTCCCCGGGCCGTCACCCCTTGTCCGCACATTCAGCCTGCCTCCAGGCCAATCCGAAGCAGCCCTGACGGGGGTATCATCAGCGGATGCTCTAGGCGGGATGCAAGCCCAGCACCTTCACTCTGGCTTCACGTGATTGAAGAAGTGTTTTGAGACGTCTCAATTCACTCTGACTTCATCCCATCCCATGCAATCTTGTGCTGCGTCGTCCATCCCATGCAATCTTGTGCTGCGTCGTCCATCCCATGCAATCTTGTGCTGCGTCGTCCATCCCATGCAATCTTGTGCTGCGTCGTCCATCCCATGCAATCTTGTGCTGCGTCGTCCATCCCATGCAATCTTGTGCTGCGTCGTCCATCCCATGCAATCTTGTGCTGCGTCGTCCATCCCGGTTTCCCCCTCGTCCTCCCCCCACCAGGCCAATCCGAAGCGGCTTTGACGGGGTATCATCAGCGGATGCTCAAGGCAGGGTGCAAGCCCAACACCTTCACCCTGGCGTCATGCTATGCCCACCCTCCTCTCCCTCCCAACCCCCGTTTCCCTTCCTCCATCCTTCCCACCTCCTCCTCCAACCTTCCCCACCCTCTCCTCCCCCTTCCAGGTCAATCCGAAGCAACCTTGACGGTGTTTCAAAGGATGCTCAGGGCGGGGTGCAGCAAACCCAATACCTTCACTCTGCTCTGCAGTCGTACCAATCCCCTGATAATCTCTCCTGTCTTATCCACCCCACACCCCCCCGCCCCCCCCGTCTTCCCCCTTAGGCCAATCCGAAGCAGCCTTGACGGTGTTTCAAAGGATGCTCAGGGCGGGGTGCAGCAAACCCAATACCTTCACTCTGCTCTGCAGTCGTACCAATCCCCTGATAATCTCTCCTGTCTTATCCACCCCACACCCCCCCCCCCCCCCGTCTTCCCCCTTAGGCCAATCCGAAGCAGCCCTGACAGTGTATCAGCGGATGCTCAAGGCGGGGTGCAAGCCCAACACCTTCACTCTGGCCTCACTCATCCGCATTCTCGGCAAAACCAAGGACTGGCAAGGAGCAGTTAAGATTTTTGAGGTGAGGAAACGGGATGAGGGTGTGTCGGGGGGAGTGTGTGGGGAGGGTAATTGGCTTGCTCAACTTGCTTCTGCTTGCTTCCTTGTACTCCTTCCATTTTCCGACTTCGGTTTCCCGTCGTGCCTAATTTGATCTCACCTCTTCCTTGTTCTGCCCGTTTTCTTCTACCGATGCAGGATGCGAGATCTTCCAGCATCCCTCTTAATGCGCACCTCTTTAACGCGTTACTAGACGCGCTGCTGCACAACAGGCAGGTGGCTGCAGCGCGCTTATATCGAGTACAGATGAGACGGTATGGAGTGGTGGAGGATGCAAACACTCAGGCGATTCTGAAACGAGCGGAAGAGAGGGAGGTGGGGTGGGATGCAGAGTGGGAGGAGGAGGTGAGGGAGAGGGAGAGGGAGAGGGAGATGGAGAAGGAGAAGGCGAAGCAGAGGGAGAGAGAGGAGAGGGTGAGAGGAGAGAGGGAGCTTGAGAAGGTGGATGATGGAAGGGAGGAGAGTGAGGAGGTTGAACGGGGGGATGCAAGGGGAAATTGGGAAAATGGGGATCAAGACTGGAGGCTAGGAAAGTTGTAAGGTATGGAGCTTTGCATACCGTAGTAGTGCATTTGGTAGCAGTTGGGGTTGTGGAGGTTGTCGGCAGAGGAAGGATAGAGGAGGGGTAGGTGGACGGTGGATGGTGTTTTTAGTTTTTTATGCCTTTCCGGTTATGTGCAGCCATTGAGGTGGCAGGTGAAGTCCCATCTAATCATGCCTCGGCATTTTTTGTGGTTATGGGTACATGTTTCGAAATGTACCGTACCGTCCTCTTTCCACTCTTTTCTGTAACAGTTGCCACCTCATCAGCAAAACACGTTTGCTGTTGAATCTTCTTCCATACGTACGCCATTCGTGCCAGACCTGTCAAGTCAGCTTTCAACCTGACGTGCCAGGTCATCATCAGCAAATCAAGATCTATGGATAAGCTTGATTTGATAAGCTTGATATGATTGCCAGGTTGTACCTCAATGCCGAGGGCTGTCAGAGAACACAGTGATTATAAAGTGCGGTGAGGTCCTACTGAACGTCATTTTTTTACCTCTTGTTACGGTATGATCCTTGCTGTCTTAGGGTAAACGAATAGTTTTACTCCAAAAGAGTAAAAGGGGTATGATCCTAAAAGGACTGCAAATGAACCTGTCTATACTTGCAGAGCCTTCAGCCGTTTGCTGTACAGTACCATTTTGTTTCAGCAGTGTCTCATCGCAGTACAAACCCTTCTTCCCCTTCTTGCCATGCTGATTTCGGGCTTTAACAAACATGCCAGTCTAGCACATCTGTGAAAAGATATGGAGGCACAACTGCCAGTTTGCCTCCCTGGCGCCTTCATTCCTTACCTTGCCATGTCAGTAAAAGCAGGACCCGGAACACGCTCTCTGCACGCGCTTTGTATGGCCGGACCGCACCACCTTTTCCGTCGCTTGAGAGAAAATCTTCCCTTCCTCCAAGACTCTGCAGTCAGTGCCACTGAATCAGCGTCACTGGAGTCAACGTCACCTCCTAGAGTCTGGATTCGCAAGCTTGCCGCTATTTGCACGGCTGCTGCTTCATTGGCGGAAACTCCTACCGTCGAGAACCCGTTACCGCGGAAACTCCTATCGTCGAGAACCCGTTACCTTGCAACGACAGCTGCTGTCACCGTTGGGGCCTGGTATTACGGCCTACAGGTGTCTCTTTTCGAGGCGCTGAAAAATAACAAGGCTATTGGGCCTGCAGTTGGGACTCTCGTCAATCCAACCCCTTGAAGTGTGGTCGGTGTCTGTATCCCGCTGCAATCAACTTCTCTGATTGTTCGGCGTATTCTCCTGACACGTAAGTTCACGTCACGCTGTCTCAGCACCACGTCACCCTGGGTTTGCCACCACTACTACTACGATTGCCATCTTATCTGGGACACACTACTCCAACGACGATTTGGACGATGCAACGCGTAGACGGATGGCGATTGCCGCCACTCGGTGTGGACCAGCAAGGTGCGGAGAGCCTGGAGGACACTCTCTTTGCTCTGCTGGGATTTGAATCTGCTCATGCTGGTACTACTACTGCTCGCATGAACGGTCTGCGTGACGCCGTTCCTTCAACGTGACCTGACCAATCCGAGCTGTCCCAGGGTGATGGTGCTCCACTTGTGGGAAAAGAAGTTCCCGCTTCGGTTCGTCACGTTAGACCCACCCAACCTCCTCAGGTCAATATGGTTGGATGTGTAACAGCTGGTGCTGCTGCCAGCCCCGCAGCTGCTTCTGTTCTCCGAGTGTCACGAAATCCAGCATGCTCGGACCTAACCACTCCAGCGTACCCCTCTCAGTGTCTTCATGACGTCATGCCGCCCGTTGATGCTGCTTCCACCAGCGCTGCACCTGCTGCTGCTCGCGGAGGCCCAAGAAATGCAGCGAACTCGGACATTGTGGTTTCAGGCCAACCAACTCAACCTACTCATGCCATCATGATGGCCGGCTGTGCTGCTCCCATCAACCCTGCACCTGCTGCTGCTGCTGTTGCTGCTTTCAGAGTGTCAGCATCTACAGCACACCAAGAAAGACCTCATCACTCCACCCTCACCTTCTCAGCTGCACAACAGCTCGATTGGCTGTGTTGCTCCCACCAGCGCTGCATCTGTTTCCTGTGCCACTGTCGCCCAAGTCACACGAAATGAAGTTGCCTCGGTACAACAAATCGGCTCTCTGAGCCCTGCAAGGCTCGGTGTAAGCTCGGGAAGGCCGCCTATTGGCCGCAGAAGTGCCACGGAGAAGCGCAGACGACACCGGGTCAGGTAGCAATCTCCCTACCGTGGCACTCGTATGTATGTGCAATCATGCAATCACTGCGCTCGTTGTTCTCTCGTCTTGTGCTGCTTACCTTCGCTGTTCTGCCAAGTTGTTGGAAACAAGCCCCTGTCGCTTCCACCTTCCTGACTTTACATGTAGGGATGGGCTCAAGCAGTTGGAGAAGGCGATTCCTGCTTTACGGCTGCGACGGAAGTGTGCGTCAAACTTGGCGTTTCGCACTGATATTGCTTCTCTGCTGCACGCCGCGGTGGACTTTATAGAGGAGCTGGAGGTGAGTGGTGAAGGTGTTTTCCTAGTGAGATTGAAAGATGCACAATGTTTTCTGTGTTCTTATCTCCTCTTACCACCTGTCTTTAGTTTGTCTGCAGGAACAGAAGGCTCAGCTGTCACAAGCATGTTCTCAGCATTTGACCATGTACAGATGAAGTGAAGGATGTACCGTACTCGTTTTTACATGTCTGGGACGTTTGCAGTAAAAGATGAGTGCACTCCGGGTTTTATCTAAGCATAGGCAATAGAGTAAGTGCTTGCTGGCTGGATGGAAAGAAAATAAGCTGGGTTTTGTGTTGCTAAGACAACAATGCGTAAGTAGTTAGCATCCAGCAAACTCCGTACGGTGATGTTTCATTGTTGTTACGGTACGTATTGGTATTATGAGTTGATTTACTCGTTTGTAATGGAAGCAAATAGCTATGTGAAGATGTTTTTTTCCAGTGCTCATTGTGGACATTGTCATTAATCATGACAACTATATATTTCTCTGATACACGTTTGTGCATGTGTACTAGGCTGGCTTCTAGTGAGTCCGACTAACGAACTGCTCAACTGGTGCTCCTGACAACAAGCCACCTCAAGTACCCAGCTCAGCATGTCCATCCATTTGTGTCGGGGTTGGGGGGGCATGAGCAGGCCGAGCAAGAGAACAGTCTGTAGTGTAGTGTACAGTGCTGCTGGGCAATCGTGCTAATTGCTACAATCTCACTCGATTCGTCCCAAGTCTACTCATCCACCAATCCACAAGGAGAATGCTCGAGACGGCTATTCGCACTATGGTAGGCTGACGCTGTCTCGAGAGCGGGCACCCCAGCGTTGCGAAGCTGTCCGGGATATGTAACCAAGTTGGCAGGATTCGTGAATCGTATGTTGGATGCTGATTGTCCTTCGTTTGCACCTGATGCTCACCACTTCAGTCGAAGGGCAAATCACGTGAACTAGTAAGGATTTCATAGCGTTCTTCATTCTTCCATTCTGACCCCAAACCGCTTCCTTAGCAGTCAGGGAAGCAATGGCGGTGATTGCCGTAGCGTTTGTAGTGCGTTTGTAGTTCGAGCCTGGAGAATGTACGCTAGAATGCCGGCTTGTTCGGCTTAGCCAGACTTCGTAACGTGTTTGTGATCATAGCCTGCTGATGCCATTGAGGAGAGATAAACTAGGTCTGTTGGCATGCGCCAGTCAACCCTAATGTAGAGATCCATGGGGTTGTCTTTTTCATTCACAAGGGTTAGCACGCGCTATCCTAAGTCGTAAAAGTATTTGTACTGTACCGTACTATGTATCGCCGAACAGAAACTTGATCAGCCTGATTCTGTCTCGACGGCGGCGACCATGCATGGCTGGACGAGAGTCGTGCGGCGGGGGCCGCTGGCTTTCCGGGCTCGTAAGCGCCGCTCGACCTGGCCTTTGTATTTCGGTAAAGCCGTACAATCGACCACTGTACTCACTTAGTAAGGAATACGTCAGCATTGACGTCACAGATGTGGTATGATGGGTACGACGTTTTCTCCCAGAGTCTATGTCATACGAGGAATCATTGGTCGCAGCCGCACGAATGGTCCACATCGTGTTTTCCTTCCATTCGTACCCCTGCCAGCAACAGTAACAAAATCTTAAGGCCCTGGACCCCGAACGAGAGGACATAGATCGTTTATGATACATTATGGGAAATGATCAGATTGGGGCCCCAGAGCTCTAGAAAAGTCGCCAACTTGGGGCCTCGTGTGTCGCAAGGAGTCGAGCCTAGGCCGGACCTGTGCCCAACCAATTTCTAGCCTCATCCACGCGCTCCGTCAGACCTGACCACACAAGGTGACGAATTCCTCCTTGACGAACGAAAAAATTGACTCGACATCTAAAAATTGACGAATTTTCCTCTCGTGCGTCATGCCTTCGAAGGGGCCTTAGCCCTAAACATCTTGCCGCACGGTATTTAGGGTTGATGCTTCCCCAATCATATGCCATCCGAATGGGGTTTATTTTTTGTGCCATTGCGTTGTTGTTGTTTTTGGGTTAAAATGATTGTTTTTCTGGGTAATTTACGATGACGAGTCACTAGCGAATTCCGTCAACCCCAGGCCAGTAGGTGGTGACCTGGCGAGAAGGCCAGGCTCGGCCTAACTGACCAGGTGTGCTGGTTGCTTCGGGGGTACGTAGTAGGGGCGCGACTCACGAGGCCCCAATTCGGCCACTTTACTGCTACTCCGGGGCCCCTTTTTGATCGTTTCCCATACATTATCATGATACTGTAGGTTACAGTCTCGGAGCAGCAGCAGCGTCGTCTTCGCAGTCGCGCGGCAGCTTTCACCATTCCTTCCTCCGACCCGACACTGATCGTCACGCCAGCTACTACTTCTACCAGCAGTGACGACCGTTTTCTGAATCATTCTTCAGCTGTTTCCCCTAGCTGCGTACGAGAAATTCTACTCAGTAAGTACTCTGTCTGTCATACGGGATTCCTGATCAGTCCTAGGGTACTACTTAGACCGTACCACTATCAATGGAGCTCCCTAGTAACGTCCCGCTGCCATTCCTTGACTTGCACTGCTCTCCGGAGTGCGCTGCAGACTGTGACGGAATACACATTTCCTGGAAGGCGCAGGAAGCTACGCAGCAAACCGTGGGAGCAACCGGCATCAGCAGCGGATTATCATGGGAGCCAGAGGGCGTCAGCAGCATTTATGCCGCTGCTCCATTCACGGGAGCCTGTGGGTGGGACCCAGCTGGTGGGAGCAGCAGCAATTGCTCTGCATTGCCAATTGCCTGCACGGACGGACATATTGTGACGGCCGATTTCACATCATCATGTTCCCTGCCAGTGATTCCCTGCGGCAAGAACAGCACGGCTACTGTCTCCGAGTCAGGACTCAGTAGTTCATTCAAGGTGGCAGCGGGGTCAGGTCATGATGCCTGGCAGGCAGATGTCCTGGCGTCGATTTTTGAGTCCGAGTCACTCCCTTTGGGAGCCATGTCACATGTCAGCATCTCACACGGTGGAGGATACGTCAGCATGCTGACTCAGCCTTCACTGACAGGTGGTAGTTTCACACAGTCGACGACAACAGCTGTTAATCCCTCGCCTGTTTCATTCCATGATCAGATCCATTCGGTGGTAATGAATCCAGCTGCGGCTGCATTGCCTATTTGTGAGCCGCAGCAACAATGTATGGCAACGCCTTCTGCAGCCCATCATCAGATCCCGTCGAAGCTGAGCACTCCTGCTGATATTCATGCTCCTGTTGTTGTTGTTGTTGCTGCTGCTGCTGCTGCTGCTGCTGCTGCTGCTGCTGCTGCTGCTGCTGCTGCTGCTGCTGCTGCTGCTGCTGCTGCTGCTGCTGCTGCTGCTGCTGCTGCTGCTGCTGCTGCTGCTGCTGCTGCTGCTGCTGCTGCTTCTGCTGCTGCTCCTGCTGCATTGCCTGTCAACATGCCCACCGCGACTTTCCAGTCTCATTATCTCCAACAAGAAGCGCCTCTATTGCTGAGACCAGCGCAAACAACCCTGACAGAATCATCGGGAGGCAGCACGAGAGACAGAACCCTAGGAGCAAACCGAGAGGGAACGCTGTACGACATAATTGTGTCGGGAAGATTCAAGCGCAAGGGCTCAGCCAGCTGGTGGGGCGATGATTCGATTGCTGAGGCCCCGACCACGCATCCTCTAAAAAGGCAGTGTTTGGTTGGTGGTAATGAACCGGGTTTCATAGCCCCTGACAGTGGTGCTACCGGGTCAGGCTCACTCACAGCCGGCAGTCGATGCGCCCCCGTCTATCTAGATCTGCCCAGGACGAGAGTGGAAGCTCCTGCCTCAATCCCAGTCGTTGGATCAACTGTCGGCGCCGTTGGTTCTGCTGCTGTGAGCCGTCCACCTGCTGTTGCCACTGAAGGGGCAGCACTGTTGGATCCATTGCCGACATCTTCGGCTTTTCGCGTAACACAAGGGGCAGCCCAGCCAGCACAGTCCGCACAACCAACCCTGAGGGACCACGCGCATGGCAACGGGCTGGGTCCGGATTGGCCGCCTATTCAACGCAGAAGTGCCGCGGAGAAGATTAGAAGACACCGGATCAGGTAAACACATTGCGCCTTGGTTTGTTAAATATTTACATGTTTGACATCGTATTACCATACTCATGGTGCCTCTGCTGCCTCCCATATTCTGCAGTGCTGGATTCAAGCGGCTTGAAAAGGTTCTGCCTCCCTTGTGGATGCGCCAGAAGCATCAGTCAAAGATGTCATCTCGAACTGACATGTCTTCGCTATTAGATGCTGCGGTGGACTACATTAGGGAGCTGGAGGTGAGAACAGCTTGATGTGCACATCTGCAATTTGATGCTTGTTTTGCATAAAGTTGCTGATATTTCTCACTGCTATGTTGGTATGCAGGATCGGAAGGCCCAACTCGCATCAGCTTACCTGCAACAAGTGTCATGATTCTTAAGAATAAGTAGAAGAGGAAAGTAGATCAAACGATATTTTTTACTCTAGAGTGGGGTTCTGAAGGCCTGAGTGACATTCAGCATGTATGCAAGATTGTACCAAGGTGGTTGAAGCAGCCACTAGGCAGTTCAGCAGTGTAGAGTGGTTTCGGCAAGAGCCGAAGCGACGAGGTCGTGCATTTGGAAATTGGACTTGCGAAACAAAGATCGAGAAGTAACGGGAGTTACAGGCTTGTTATTAGCTGTCAGAACGATTACATGCGTCAAGAATCCGTTGTGCACGATGTAAACGGAATGCTCCAGGTACATAATTCGTGACTGGTGTTGCCCCTAACGAAAACTCAGCGAGTGTAAGATGGTAACCATGCCGTTCCGCTTCTGCTGCTCCTTCCAGACCAGAGTTTCCTAGCTCTCTCAGCTCTCGCCCTCCCAGAAAGCAAAAGGCGGTGGTTGCTGTAGCATGTGGTGCGGAGGAGTGTAATCGTTACTTGAGCCTCAGGGGTCATAAGTTACTGTGTCGTAAAACCACCGTCTTGCGTTTCTGTCGCAGCAGTGTGTGGCTTTTTTCCCCTGCAGGTGCCGAGCAGTGAATGACGCTGGGCTAGACCAACTTTGCGTCTCGCGACTCGCGAGTTCTATGTACCCGATGCAATGTATCATGAGGGGGAGCATCCTCCAAAGCGAGGCGCTGAGAGGAGATCAGGCCGTACCTGTCGTAGGTTTTCGTATAGGTGACGAATAAAATGCAAAATCCTGATGAACCTGATGCCCGAATCTATTTGACTCAGGGGTAGCTTCATAGTTTGCTAGCTACCGAATCTGCTCCGAAACCCGTCCAGTAGGGATCAATGTAGACTCTAGGATACATCAGGGCATCCGCTCGTTCTAACCATGACCAAGTGCTCAGCTACTGTACTTGGTTAGAATCCGCAAGAGTTTTATCTTATCCACAAATCACCGCATCTCGTTCTGCAAGAACCACTCGTTTCTACGACTGCTCTTTCCAAGAAAGGCATGAATTTTGCTCCCCTCCCGTTCAGCCTACCGTTGTCCTACGACCCAGTCAACCTGAAGATTTGAAGCTTGAAAAGAAAGCTACATTTTGCTTTCGTCGTCGTTGCAGCCCAACCGTCGAACTCATGACGTCGAGGCGTTTGTTGGGTCGACACCTCAGGCACCCTGATGGTTCAGCGTGTACAGTAGTCGGATTTCCGCGTCGCACTGGCCGCAGCTCTTTTTAGCCATTATTACGCCGAACTCTTAGCACCGGCGTCAGATCGTTGACATCAGGCACACTAATGATCTAGTGCTCTCTCGACCTCCAACCTCGAAAGTTCACATAGGGCGTACAGTTTTTACTGGAATTGATCTCAGCACTGTATGCTCTACATGAGTAGTATGGGAGAGTGCGGCTTGCGGCCGTACAGTATGAGCGACGGACCTAGAGTGACGCATGAACATCCCGGACATCGCTTGTACAGTGCATCTCTTGCACTTCTCTACTACTTTCAGATACGCCTCATATTACGAAGGTTTCAGTGGAGCTGTCAGTTTCAGAAGCCTCTTTCCTGTCGTTGCTCGACGAGAGACCTTTCGGGTCTGTTTCCCGTCGTTGCTCCTGGTGGACGATAATTTTTGTCACACGAATCCCGGACAAGAGATTTTAGTTACCGTTTTTCTCTATTATGGATCTCCCTAGTAACATCCCGCTGTCGTTTCTTGACTTGCACTGCTCGTTGGAGTGCGCTGCAGACTGCGACGGAGTACACATCTCCTGGATGGTGCAAGAAACCGGGGGGAAGGTGCAGCAAACCGTGGGAGCAACTGAATCTTGTGCTCCAGTGCTGATGGGAGCCTGCACGGACGATTTGACGTTCAATCTCGGCACGGATTCGCTGCCTGTGGTTCCCAGCACAGGGAACGGCATGGCGGAATCAACCCTCAGTGGTTCAGTCCGAAGGGAAGCCTTTTCAGTGGAAGGCTGGACGAGCCTCATTGAGTCATTTCGTGAGGCCGAATCGCTGCATGAGGAAGCCCTGACAGATCCCAGCATGCCATCAGGCGGAGGACATGTCAGTGCGCTGACTCAGCCGTCGCTAGCAGGCCAGATTTTCGCACCGACGACTGCAGCAGCTGCGGTTACAGCTCCTGTTTCAGCCCATCAGGGGAGCCATTCAGCGGTGAACACTTCAGCTGCTGCTGCTACTACTGATGCTGCGTGGCCAGGCACTGTGCCAAGTGCGGCAACTTCGCAGTCCCCTCCTGTTCATGGTCTCGCCCAAGAGGAACTGCTGCCACTGAGACCAGCGCAAGCAGCACTGACACACCCTTTCAGTGCAAGAGGAGCCGGTCCTGCTGGACTCCTGGTTACTAATGGTAACATTCAAGCAATGCATGGTGGAACGCTGTTTGAAGCGCCTCGAGAAGCTCCGATACACACGGCAGGAGGCCACACCCATGATGGAACCCTGTTGTCTCCCAGAGGGAACACCCTAGCAGAAACGCATGATGGAATGCTGTGTGATATGATTCTGTCGGGGAGATTCCAGGCCAAGGGCTCGTCCAGCTGGTGCAATGAAGATCTGATTGCTGAAGCCCTGGCCATGAGGGCTCGGGTAAGGCAGCGCTTGGTGGGTGAAGGACCGGGTACCAACTGCCCTGACAGCAGTACGGGTACAGGCTCACCGATTGCAGCAACCAGCACTACCAGTGAGAGTGGTGGCAGTGCTCGGGTGATGTCTGCAACGTACCCGAGGGCGAGTGCTTGTTTTGTTGATGCACCTGGTTTCTCCCTGTCTGCTCCTGTCATTGCCGGCTCTGCTGCTGTGAGCCCTCCACCTGCTGCTGCTGCTGCTGCTGCTGCTGCTGCTGCTGCTGCTGCTGCTGCTGCTGCTGCTGAAATGGCTTCAAGAGGGGCAGCTGAACCAGCTCAGTTTGCACATTCAACCTGGACGAACAAGGGTGGCAGTAAAAGGCAGATCTTGGAGCAGCTGCCTAGTCGCAGCAAAAGAACTACGGAGAAGCTCAGAAGACACCGGGTCAGGTAAATACAACAGCGCTCTTAACTGCTTAATTATACGCAGACACATGTTTATTTTAGAATCTAACAATTGTACTATCTTGTCACTTTTCTTGTTCTACAGCGACGGATTCAAACGGCTGGCAAAGGCCATCCCTGCATCGTGGATGCGTCAGAAGCAATTAAAGAACTTCTCTTCTCGAACTGACATGGCTTCATTGTTGCATATCGCAGTGGAGTTCATAAAAGATCTTCAGGTGAGCAACAAGGATGAGATGAACAATCAAGACACGTCCTCTGGATTGTAGTCAATGACAGTTACATATGTTTGCAAATTTATGATTTGCAGGAGCAGAAAGGTCATCTGTATAAAGTATCACGCAGCATGTGGCAGCAAGACTCCGACGAGTTCCTCATGAACACCACCATTAGTACACAATGTCAACGTCGACTCCACTGGGGATCGAACCCAGAATCTCTAATTCCGTAGCCCAGCGCCTTATCCATTGGGCCATGGAGTCACGAATTTGATACTTGAGAAACGGATTGGACATCTAAGGAAGGCAGCAGGCGCGCAAATTACCCAATCCTGACAGAGGGAGGTAGTGACAAGAAATAACAATACCGGGCTCTTCGAGTCTGGTAATTGGAATGAGTCGAATTTAAAACCGGGGTGCACATTCAGCTGAATGTGCATCAAAGGTTATCCCTTGACTGAGTGGGTTACGAGGTGTGCTTTCAACCCCTTCAAGTCGAAATTCGTTTCCCCCCTCCCCCGCAATTTCGTTTCCCCACGCCCCCGCAATTTCATTTCCCCCTCCCCGTCGAAATTCGTTTCCCCCCTCCCCCGCAATTTTGTTTCCCCCCTCCCCCGCAATTTCGTTTCCCCCCCCTCCCGCCAATCTGTTTCATCCCTCCCGCCATTCGGTTTCACCCACTCCCGCCATTTCACCCCCTCCCGCCACCTACGAAATGCCCGAAGCTCTAGCGGAATCATTTTTTTGTCGCCCCTCGTGAGCCAATCACTGTTTTTCTCCAAACCCCCTTCCCAACATCTCAAGCCGAACCGCGTTGAATGTGCACCCTGGTTTTAAGTAATCATAAGCATTACAAACGTGAATAGCCATTGTTGAATCCCCCTTGCTGCTCATCACCCTCTTCACTTGGCCTTCTATGGGCCTGGCAGATTCGCTTCGGCTTGCAAGTCTCCATGTTGTGGTCTCATATGGTCTCCTTCAATCCAGAAGGCATGCGTGAATGGATCAGTCGTCGTCTGCTATTCGCAAGTAAATCCCATGCGTGAAGCCATGTGACGCTCGAATCGGGTAACACTCGCAGCCTCTGTCGTACTCTGCTTCGTAAAGCTCGTTATCCGGATTCTATCCGTCCATCATGCGGCGATTCTGGGCAGTGGGATATGAAAGCAGATTACATTAGGAGGCGTTCGTACGCCGGCATGGAATTCATTGTTTCTAGGGAGTGGTATTTGGGCGACCGGCAGACAGTGGCGTCGCCATGTCGCCTCGCCGGGTTACCCGTCGCGAACCCCGCGAGCCGTGGACGGGGTTGCTGTGCGCGGTTGCTCTTAGAAGCTTCGGGTAGTTTTTTGCGTCTATGGCGGGTGCGCATCTTCCCGCTGCTCGCCGTACTCGTTATAGGATGTTCGTTTGTCGTACACGGAGCGGCTGTATCTGAAGCTCTCACTGCGTTTCCGTCTTCCTCCGCTTTTGATCATCCAACGGCTCTTCATCGAAATAGCAGTTACACTGTATCTCTCTCTACTGACGCACTCGATAGCAGTACAAAGACGAGACGAAACGAGTATACCAGCAGTGACACGTGGAGGCCAGAGACTGGTCATCAGACCGTTACCAGCTACGTTTCGCCTGAAAGGAGCATCGCAAGTATGGGAAGTACTAGTAGTGTAATAAGTAACGCTGATGTGCAAAACGACGGTAGTGTAGCGAGGAACAGGGCTACTAAGGCGTACAAGGCGATCAGCTGCGAGGATGATCTTGGCGGGGTGGGCTCTCTGGACGCCACGTGTCAGATCAGCAGCCACGTGCTGGTTCCTGATGGGACGGACGTTTCTGGAAACGGCACGCTGGAGATTCTTGCAGGTGCCAGCCTGGCATGCGGAATAGCTGGTGGTGAGAGCAATAGTAGCAGTAGGAATGGTGGCAGCAACAATAGAAGCAGTAGCAGCATCAGCAACAGTAGCAGCAGCATTAGCAGCGGCAGTAGCAGCAGCAGTAGCAGCAGCAACAAGAGGACAATCTTTGCCGTCCAAGGACCTTCTCCTGCCGCCCAGCCCGACTGTTCCCTCTCCATTCACATGGCGACAGCTGTCATGCTGCGAGAGGGTGCCAGCTTGGCAGCCTGCACGCTATTGGTCGAAACTGGGCGGCTGACTGTGGCGTTTGGGGCGGCAGTAACGGCCAAGGGGCTCGCAGCAAAGGCGCCGGATCAGACCAGTGGCACGCCGACCGATGGGAAGGGGTCGGGGGGCGGGTATGGTGGGCGAGGCGCATCGTGTAGCGTGAACAGTGCCAGGCAGAGGAGCATGAATAGTGACAATGTGGGCGGCAGGAGCGGCAGGGGGATTAGGGGCAGCAGTGGCGGAAGAAACAGTGTCAGGGGGGAGATCGGGGGCGGAAGCGGATGGGGGGCCAAGGCGGAATCATGGGGGGAAGAGGCGGAATCATGGGGGGGAGAGGCGGAATCATGGGGGGGAGATGCGTATGCCTGGTCCACCCTCACTGATCCGTGGAAAACGGGTAGCAAGGGGGGCGCGTTAGGGGAGGCGGATGGGGGGGGGCTGGGGGGAGGGCGAGTGCGCATTGTGGTGCGGGGGGAGGTGGTGGTGGAAGGGCGGATAGACGCGGATGGGGGGGATGCGCAGACGGGCAGCATGGGGAGCCTTGGGGGAGGAGGGTCAGGTGGGAGTGTGTTCGTCAATGCCACTTCCATGTAAGTCTGCCCCCTTACCCCCTCCCCCACTTGCTCCTTCGCACCCTGCTCGTGGGGGGAGGGTCAGGTGGAAGTGTGTTCGTCAATGCCTCTTCCATGTGAGTCCGATCCGCCCTACCCCCTTCCCTCCCCCTCCTTTCTCCGCCCACTTTCCTTCCCCCTCTCCGCTTCCTTCTCTCCCCTCGCCCCTCGCGCCTCTCCCTTCACCCTCCCCCTCGCCCCTCCCGTTTTTTCTGCCGCACCTTCCAAAGCAGACACGTCTTCTCAGTTCCCTCTCTCGCCCTGTCCTCTCCCCCCTTCTCTTCCCCCTTCCTTCCCTCTTCAACAACGCCCCTCCAGCCAAGGCACTGGGCGCATCTGCGCCAATGGGGGAAAGGGGCACGGGGGAGGCGCGGGGGGGCGCGTAGCCATCCAATACCAGCCCCCCCCATCCTCCCGCTCCCCCTCCCTCTCCTCCCCTTCCTCCTCCACTTCCCCCTCCTCCCCATCCCCCTACCCCTCTCCCTCCTCCGCGCTCTCCCCCACCCTATCCATCCAAGCCACTGGGGGCCCCAGTGAGGCCTGCCCTTATAACGCAGGCTCAGCCGGAACAGTCTTCAACTGGGCCAAACAAACCCTCGTTATAGGAAACTCCAACCAGCCCTCGCACACCTTCACACCGCTCTTCACCGTGCCACTATACCCCTACTGGGACGGCATTATAGTGGAAGGGGGGGCCAAAGTTGTCGCCCTGACCCGGAACTTCCGCCTTCGAATCCGCTCCTGCGTGTGGTTCCGGGAAGGTTCCAGCGTGCTGTTTGGGAGCAGCACCGGGGGAGGGGGAGGGGGAGGCGGAGGGGGAGGGGGGGATCAGCCTCCATCTCCACCGTTGGATCCTGATGAGGCGGAGGTGGAGGTGGTGGTGGCGAATCTGACGCTCACGAATGCGACTCTGGAGGTGTATGGGACGATCAAGGTGTTTGCCTCTCACTTCAACCTGCACTCCTCCGCCTCCCTGCGAATTCACCAGCTGGCTGCGCCTGCTGCTGCCGCAAGCAGGAGCAGCAGCCGTGACAGTGGTGACAGTGGTAACAACGGGGATGGCACTCACGACAGCAGCAGCAGCAGCAGCAGGAAGCAAGGCAGCAAGCGGAGGGGGAGGCACAAGAGTGGATTGTCAATGGGGTTCTCAAGCATCGACGGCAACTACCTCTTTCTCACTGTATGTTCTCCTTCTCACTTCTCTTTGAGTAACCACTCAAGCAACTCAACTCAAGCAGTGACTGGATCAGACTCAGAAATAGGGTCAGAAGCAAGCTACCTTGTCTGATTCTTGTTTCTGTAACTCTCACCCAGTGCGGTTCCGCTCCCGTCAGGGGTGCGAGCCATGCTTTCGTGGCTGTATATACGGAACCTCCTCTCCTCTCTCCCCCCTCCTCTCTCCCACTCAGGGCGGTTCCTCCCTGGTGAGCTCAGGTCACATGTGGTTGAACTTTTGAGGCGCCTAAAGAACAACTCATGTGGTTGAACTGGCAGAATGAGCTGATTCTCGCTTTACCACAACTCTTCCGTAAACCTCTGTGCCCCTCCTTTCCCTCATCAGGGCGGTTCCTCCCTGGTCAGCTCGGGCCACGTGTGGCTGCATGGGCAGAACGAGCTCGCTCTGGGCGGCAGGAGTCTGCTAGCTGCCAAAAAGCTCCTCATCTCCATGTTCATTGCCGTCCGGGTTCTGGGCGGCAGCCGGATCGCCGCCCCTCTCTCGCACGCCGCCCTTTCCCACCTCCAGTCACTCTCTGAGGGCGGCAGCACCGAACCAACATTCCTGCTACAGCCGGCATTCTCGCTACAGCCGAGTGTCTCTCTGCTACAGCCGCAGGAAAGCAGCAGCAATGCGGCAAGCGGGAGCTGGGGCAGTCACTCCTTCTTGCCCTCCCCCTCCTCCTCCTCCTCCTCCTCCTCCTCCTCCTCCTCCTCCTCCTCCTCCTCCTCCTCCTCCTCCTCCTCCTCCTCCTCCTCCTCCTCCTCCTCCTTTGGCTCTGTGGCGGCGTATGGTGGGTTTGCAGTGGAAATAGAGGACCTGCCTTACTGCCACGTGGAGGAGTGTCCGTCCAGTGTGGTGCAGCCGAATCATGACTGCAGCAGCGAGGATGAATCCCCTTTCTCCCTCCACGTGAGTGATCCCCTCCTGCTCAGTCTCTTTCTTCCGCTGCTGCTGCTGCCGCTGCTGCTCTTGAGACGCTTAGAGGCAGAGAAAGTGGACAGCAGCAGTGGAAACAAGAGGAAGAACAATACGGGCCTTCCACTCTGCCTACCTCCCTCCTTCCCAAACCTATCTGTCCTCCTCTCCGCCATTCCCGTGCAGGTCTGTTGTCTGGACAGCCTATACGTGCAAGGGGCGATGGAGGGGGGCATTGGTGCACATTGACTCGCAACCCCTCCATTATCCTGTCGCCATTTCTCCCTTCTCCTGCCTACACACCATCCCCGTGCAGGTCTGTCGTCTGGACAGCTTATATGTGCAAGGGGCAATGGAAGGGGCGTTGGTGCGCATAGATGCCTCCTCCTCTCTGGTCATCGACCACCGAGCGTCCATCTCTGCTTCGGGCCTTGGTGAGTGGCTGTGCCTCTCACTCTACTTGCAGGTGCATGGCAGGTGCGAGGCAGAGAGAGGTTGGTGCATTGTGTATGTGCAAGGGGCGATGGAGGGTGCACTTGGTGCGCGTAGATGCCTCCTCCTCTCTGGTCATCGACCACCGAGCTTCCATCTCTGCTTCGGGCCTTGGTGAGTGGCATGAAAGGTGCACAGCTGGTGCGTGGCAGGATGACGGAAATAACGCCTCTCTTTTTCCTCTATTCCTACTCCCTCCCCCACTGCCCAAACATTGACCCTTTTCTGCGCTTCTTTCAATGGAAGGGACGCACCAGCAGGGGGGAATGGAGGAGTAGAGCATGAGGGAAAAAGCAGCTCTCTCTTTCCTCTCTCGCTCAATCGGTCCCGTCCCTCCCTCCCCTTTCCCATAACGTTCACCACTTCCTTGCTCTTCCCTCAGGTTGCCTGCCGGGCCATGGCGTAGGGCATGGCAGGGACGCACCAGCAGGGGGGAGTGGCGGAGGGGGGCATGGGGGAAAGGGCGGTGCCGGCCATTTCAATGGGTCCCGGGCGGCAGGAGGGGCTGCATACGGACGAACGATGCCGCCCTGCAGTGTTGGGAGTGGGGGAGGGCTGGGGCCGGAGGGTCGAGGGAACAGCGGAGGCGGGCTGATAGGTGAGTGTGGTGATAGATGGGTGAGTGTGGTGATAGATGGGTGAGTGTGGTGATAGATGGGTGAGTGTGGTGATAGATGGGTGAGTGCGGTGATAGATGGGTGAGTGTGATGATAGATGGGTGAGTGTGGTGATAGATGGGTGAGTGTGATGATAGATGGGTGAGTGTGGTGATTGATAGATGGGTGAGTGTGGTGATAGATGGGTGAGTGTGGTGATAGATGGGTGAGTGTGATGATAGATGGGTGAGTGCGATGATGGGTGGGTGAGTGCGATGATGGGTGGGTGAGCTGTTCTGATAAGGGGGTGAGCTGGGGTGCTTGTTTGATAGCTGCATTTACAGGCTTGTTTGATGGGCGAGTTGTGCCGCTGCTTGTATGAAAGGTTCTGGTGCCTCTCCTCTCTCTTCCCTTCTCTCTTCCCTTCTCTCTTCCCTTCTCTCTTCCCTTCTCTCTTCCCTTCTCTCTTCCCTTCTCCCTTCCCCCTCTCGCCACGCAGTGCTGGGCCCTGTGGCCCGCCTGGAGCTCTGGGGCGGCTCTCTGGCAGCAGACGGCTCGTTTCTCAACACACGTACTGTGGGAGGCGGGGCAGGGGGAATGGGGGGCGGAGGAAGGGGAGAGGGAGGGGGAAGAGGGGGAGCGGCAGGTGGAGTAGGGGGAGTGGGGGGCGGAGAAGTAGGATTGGAAGCTGGAAAAAGGGAAGTGGGGAGCGGAGGGTTGGGAGGAGGGGCAGGGGGGACGGTGGTGATTCACGCAGCTTACCTGAACATAACTCGAGGGGCTGTGATATCGGCTGCAGGCGGGCAGGGGCATTCGGTGGGGGGAGGCGGAGGGGGCGGGGGGAAGTTGTACTTCGCATGGCAGAACCTGGAGCGGACGAGAGGGGATGAGTACACACCACGTGCTACTATCGAGGGGAATTGGACTGATGCTATCAAAACAAGGTGAGATATGCTTATGAGATTAGCAGCACATGGGGTCCCGAGGGGGCTGAGGGGGCGAAGGGGGCGGATGGGGCGGGGGGAAGGTGTACTTTGCATGGCAGAACCTGGAGCGCACGAGAGGGGATGAGTACACACCTCGTGCTCCTGTTGAGAGGAATTGGACTGATGCTATCAAAACAAGGTGAGATATGCACATGTGATTGTACAAGGTGAGATATGCACATGTGATTGTACAAGGTGAGATATGCACATGTGATTGTACAAGGTGAGATATGCACATGTGATTGTACAAGGTGAGATAGTAGCACACACATGGGGGGCTGCGTAGGGGGTAGGGGGAAGTTATACTTTGCATGGCAGAACCTGGAGCGGACGAGAGGGGATGAGTATACTCCACGTGCTACTACCGAGGGGAATTGGACTGATGCTATTAGAACAAGGTGAGTGGGTGGGTGGCGATGGTATCAGCAGCACATCTGTACCGGCTGGGGAATGGATGGTAGTGATCAAGTACAGATTAGCAGCACTTATAATTCACGCACTTAATTATAAGTGCTGTCATCATCTCATGGTGTGACGATGACTTTTGAGAATTCTCAAAATTCGCACCGAGAATTCTCAAAAGTCGCAACGAGAATTCTCAAAATTCGCACCGAGAATTCTCAAAAGTCGCAACGAGAATTCTCAAAAGTCGCACCAATGTAAATGACGGGAGCACATGGTGTGGCGATGAGAGGACGGTAGGAGATGAGTACACGAGATTCTGATACGGGTGGTCCCAGCTCTAGATTAGATAGCTTCTCAGCCCCTGGGTTTCTCCTCACCTTTCTTTCTTCCCCTTCGCTCATCTTTCCCCCGTGCTGATCTGTCCACCCAGTGGAGGCCAGGGCAGCTACGAGGGGGAGGATGGTGAGGTGGGAGTGACGGGGTCGGCGGATTGTCCACCGGGGCTGGTGGGGCTGTTGTGTGAGGAGTGCCCTGTGGGAACCTTCAAGACCCAGTCCGGCTCCGACCCTTCTCTCTGCCTGCCCTGCCCGCTCGACCTGCTGCCACACCATGCTGAATTCACCTACAAGCGAGGTATGTACAATGCGGTTGGATGTGGTGATGTGGTGTGGTTGCTGGCCCCACCTACCAGGTATGGCTGGTGGGGCTGCTGTGTGAGGAGTGCCGTGTGGGAACCTTCAAGTCCCAGTTTGGCTCCAACCCCTTCCGTCTGCCTGCGCTGCCCACTGGACCTCCTGCCACACCACGCCGAATTCGGCTCATCACAAGTGCGAATCTGCAAACACAAGCGAGGTTCATCAGCTCTTGTGTTTGCGAATTGCCTGCCAGGGCTGGTGGGGCTGAAGAGTGCCGTGTGGGCACCTTCAACAACCAATTTGGCTCGACCTGAATTCACCTACAAGCGAGGTATATGCGGTGCAGGGAGGGTATATGCGGTGCAGGGAGGGTATATGCGGTGCAGGGAGGGTATATGCGGTGCAGGGAGGGTATATGCGGTGCAGGGAGGGTATATGCGGTGCAGGGAGGGTATATGCGGTGCAGGGAGGGTTCACCTACCAGTGCACGTTCTAACGTCCCACCCACGGCCCGCCCATTCCGCTGGAGGTTGACAGGCCAGAATTGCTCTGACGAACGACGTATGTAAGGTATAGAGGGGGGGGGGGGGGGGGGGGAGTACCAGTGCACGCTCTCTGTGCTGCCGCTGGGCCTCGCCCTGATCCGCGGTATCAGTGCAAACTGCTGAAGTGGCTCCCCCTTTCAGCTCAATCCTTCTAACCCTTTCATCTCTGGCCGTCCATTTCCCCCTCCCAACAGGTGGTGCTAGCACTTCTCTCTGCCCCACTTTGACACACCCATGGAGGGGCTCATACGCGACCTGGGCGGGCCCTGGGTGTTCGGGCTGCTGGCCTGCACGCTCTCCGTGCTGCTGCTGGGTTTCTCTTCCTTTCACTTCAACCCATCAAGCCCTTTCATCTCTGTCCCATTCCCCCCTCCCTCCAGGCGGTGCCAGCAGTGCCCCTTGTCCCTACCGCTGCCTCTCCTCGCACTTCTCTCTGCCCCACTGCGACACGCCAATGGAAGGGCTCATTCGCGACCTGGGCGGGCCATGGGTGTTCGCCCTGGCCTGCACGCTCTCCGTGCTGCTGCTGGGGTTTGCGATTACTCTCGCTCGTGCGAGATTGCTGCTGGCAGGGGACGACCTGGCCCAGCCGCAGACGAGGGACTCAGACGTCTCTTCCCATATGGACCACTCCCTGCCTTTTCTAGAGTCTCTGAACGAGGTGCGTGGGTGCTGCAGGGGGTGGGGAACGGGCAGTGTTCCTAGGTGTTTGCTTTACAACCTGGGCGGGCCCTGGGTGTTCACGCTGGCCTGCACACTTTCCATGCTGCTGCTGGGGTTCGCCATCACTCTCGCTCGCGCCAAGCTGCTGCTGGCAGGGGACGATCTGGCGCAGCCGCAGACATGAGATTCGGACGTCTCCTCTCACATGGACCACTCGCTGCCCTTTCTCGAGTCCCTGAATGAGGTGCGCAATGCTTGGGAAAGCATTTGGGGTGGTCAAGGCAGCTTTGGGAAAGCATTTGGTGTGCGCCAGGCTGCTGCTGGCAGGGGACGATCTGGCGCAGCCGCAGACGAGGGACTCCGATGTGTCCTTCTTGCACCTGCTGCACCTCCCACACTCCCCATCCCCCGCCATCTCCGATCACATATACGAGGACTCCTACAACCGTCTTGTGGACGCGGTTAATGCGATTGAAAATATCTTGCACAATGCATACCCCCTTTATCTCCCTTCCCCTCTTCCGCACACACTCTCTCCTTCCACAGGTGATGGAGAACACGAGGGTAGAAGAGGCAGCCTCACACGTCCACCGGGTCTTCTTCTGTGGAGACAACTCCCTCTCACACCCGCTGCAGAGTCAAATACGTTTCTCTTTTTCACTTCCCCTCTTCCCCACCAGGTGATGGAGAACACGAGGGTGGAAGAGGCAGCCTCACACGTCCACCGGGTCTTCTTCTGTGGAGACAACTCCCTCTCACACCCGCTGCAGAGTCAAATACGTTTCTCTTTTTCACTTCCCCTCTTCCCCACCAGGTGATGGAGAACACGAGGGTGGAAGAGGCAGCCTCACATGTCCACCGGGTCTTTTTCTGCGGAGACAACTCCTTCTCTCACCCGCTGCACCTCCCACACTCCCCGCCCCGCGCCATCTCCGATCTCGTATACGAAGACTCATACAACCGTCTTGTCGACGAGGTGAACGCAATCGCGTGTTTCCGGTGGTGGGAGGGGTGTGTGCACTCGCTGCTGGCGCTGCTCGCGCTGCCGTTTGCATGGTCGTGGCAGCAGTGGCGGCGCCGCCTGGTGGTGCAGCGGCTGAGGGAGTTTGTTCACACGCGCTACGACCACTCGTGTCTCCGCTCCTGCCGCTCCCGCGCTCTATATGAAGGGCTCAAGGTAACAATGAGGACAAAACTAGGCGCCTAGTTCCAGTGGCGGCGCCGCCTGGTGGTGCAGCGGCTGAGGGAGCTTGTTCACATGCGCTACGACCACTTGTGTCTGCACTCCTGCCGCTCCCGCGCGCTCTACGAAGGGCTCAAGGTGAGCCAAGAGACGTACATCCTGGATAGAAACAAACAGAAGCCAACGCCATTGCACGCGCTACGACCTCTCGCGCCTGCGCTCCTGCCGCTCCCGCGCGCTCTACAAAGGGCTCAAGGTGAGTCAACTGATTGGTGATGTTGCGTCGCACTGCTGCCACGTATTGACATCAAGACAAAAACTGGTGGTGCCCCATTACGACCTACCCCAGGTGTCAGCTACCCCGGCCAGTCCTGATTTTGAGCTACATATGTGCCTTCTCTCTTCCTCTAAACGCCCTCCTCCTACCTCATTGCCTTCTGCCTTGTTCCCGTGACCCCCCCGTTACCTCTGTTACCTCGGCGCGCCACCTCTCCCAGGTGTTAGCTACCCTGGTCCAGTTCCGAGGCAACTTCTGAGGCGTCTCAAACTCCTTGTTCCCTTGAACCCCCCCTGGCACATTGTGGATACTACCTCCCCCAGGTATCAGCTACCCCGGACCTGGTTCTACGCTACATCGGCATATGTATTTTCTCTCCCTTTCACTCCCTGGTACCTCCTTATAACCCCTCAAATATCACCTCCCCCAGGTGTCAGCTACCCCGGATCTGGTCCTAGGCTACATGGACGTGTTTCTGGGCGGCGACGAGATGGCCACGCACATGCTGCCGAGCTTTGCCGACCGCCTGCCGCTGCTGCTGGTGCTGGGCGGCAACGGGTCGTACATGGCACCGTACCATCTCTTTACGGACGACCTCCTTACGAACATCATCTCCCAGGTGTGCTCTCAGGTCAGGTGCGTTCTCAGGTGTTTCCTCAGGTGTGTATTCAGGTGTGCTCTTTACGGGTCATACATGGTGCTGTACCATCTCTTCACAGACGACCTCACCAATATCATCTCCCAGGTGTGTTTTCAGGTCACTCAGGTCAGGTGGTTTCTCAGGTCAAGTATTTTCTTAGGTGTGTCCCGCTTCCCCATTCCATCCCATCCTATTCCATCCCATCCTATTCCATCCCATCCTATTCCATCCCATCCTATTCCATCCCATCCTATTCCATCCCATCCTATTCCATCCCATCCTATTCCATCCCATCCTATTCCATCCCATCCTATTCCATCCCATCCTATTCCATCCCATCCTATTCCATCCCATCCTATTCCATCCCATCCTATTCCATCCCATCCTATTCCATCCCATCCTATTCCATCCCATCCTATTCCATCCCATCCTATTCCATCCCATCCTATTCCATCCCATCCTATTCCATCCCATCCTATTCCATATTCCATCCCATCCTATTCCATCCCATCCTATTCCATCCCATCCTATTCCATCCCATCCTATTCCATCCCATCCTATTCCATCCCATCCTATTCCATCCCATCCTATTCCATCCCATCCTATTCCATCCCATCCTATTCCATCCCATCCTATTCCATCCCATCCTATTCCATCCCATCCTATTCCATCCCATCCTATTCCATCCCATCCTATTCCATCCCATCCTATTCCATCCCATCCTATTCCATCCCATCCTATTCCATCCCATCCTATTCCATCCCATCCTATTCCATCCCATCCTATTCCATCCCATCCTATTCCATCCCATCCTATTCCATCCCATCCTATTCCATCCCATCCTATTCCATCCCATCCTATTCCATCCCATCCTATTCCATCCCATCCTATTCCATCCCATCCTATTCCATCCCATCCTATTCCATCCCATCCTATTCCATCCCATCCTATTCCATCCCATCCTATTCCATCCCATCCTATTCCATCCCATCCTATTCCATCCCATCCTATTCCATCCCATCCTATTCCATCCCATCCTATTCCATCCCATCCTATTCCATCCCATCCTATTCCATCCCATCCTATTCCATCCCATCCTATTCCATCCCATCCTATTCCATCCCATCCTATTCCATCCCATCCTATTCCATCCCATCCTATTCCATCCCATCCTATTCCATCCCATCCTATTCCATCCCATCCTATTCCATCCCATCCTATTCCATCCCATCCTATTCCATCCCATCCTATTCCATCCCATCCTATTCCATCCCATCCTATTCCATCCCATCCTATTCCATCCCATCCTATTCCATCCCATCCTATTCCATCCCATCCTATTCCATCCCATCCTATTCCATCCCATCCTATTCCATCCCATCCTATTCCATCCCATCCTATTCCATCCCTTCCTATTCCATCCCATCCTATTCCATCCCATCCTATTCCATCCCATCCTATTCCATCCCATCCTATTCCATCCCATCCTATTCCATCCCATCCTATTCCATCCCATCCCATTCCCTTTCCTCCCACATCCCATCGCAGGCCATCCCCCCAACAGTGTGGTACCGCCTGGTAGCGGGGTTGAACGCCCATATGCGCACCGTTACCCACGGCGCCTTGCAGAGATCGCTCAAGCCCCTGCTGCGCTGGCTGTGCACGCATGTCAACCCTTCGCTGGAAGCCCACGGCGTCTCCGCACACCTGGCCTGGCTGCAGGTGCGCTCCTCTCCTGGAATGGAAGCAGGTGCACCGGCCATGCTCCGCTCCCCATCCCTGTTGTATCGTTTCTTCTCACCTAGACTACAGCCGCTCATGCCCCTGCTGCTCTGGCTGTGCTCGCTTGATAACCCGTCACTGGATGTGATAAGTCGAGTTTTGATTCGACTCAAAACTCTGGCTGTGCGCGCATGATAACCCGTCACTGGAAGCCCACGGCGTGTCCACACACCTGGCCTAATTGCAGGTGCGCCTTTAGTGGTTGCAGGTGTGCCTTCCTTGTTCCCGTCCTCAACCTTGTCTTGTATTTCTACATACTGTCGCTCAAAACTCTGCTGCGTTGGCTGTCCACCCACATCAACCCCTCGCTGGAAGTCCACAGCCCACCTCAGCCAGTGCAAGCCAGCCAGCTGGAAGTCTCTCTGTGAGATCCAGACATAGCTCAGTGAGCCTACTGCACGCACGCACCTCACTGACCTATGTCTGGATCTCAGCCAGTGTAATCCTGTTCTGTGCCTCCCCCCTTCCACCTTTTCACCTTCTCAATGTCCCCCTCTCTCTCCCCTCCTCCTTACTCGTCCCCCACAGCCCACATCAGCCAGCATAATCCAGCTTGCTCTGTGTCTCGACCACCCCGAAAGAAATCATTACTGCAATGATTACCTCTGCTCTTCCCTCTCCATTGCCCCCCCCCCCTCCGTCTTCCCCGCTTCTTCCGCGCACCCATCCCTCACAGCCCACATCAGCCAGCATAATCCAGCTCGCTCTGTGTCTCTCCCTCTCTATCGTTCCCTCCACTTTAGTTAATCACCCCACCTCTCTCTCCCCCTTCCACTGCCCCTCTTTCCACCCACCCATCCCTCACAGCCCACATCAGCCAGCATAATCCAGCTCGCTCTGTGTCTCTCCCCTTCCACCTTTCTTCCTTTGCAATGTCCCTCTCTCTCTCCTCCTTCTCCCCACCCGTCCCCCACAGCCAACATCAGCCAGCATAATCCAGCTTGCTCTGTGTCTCGACCACCCCGAGAGCACCGATCACTGCAACGACTACCTCCCCTCTTCTGCTGCTGCTGCTGCTTCTGCCGACCCTGCTGGCCATTTGTCTGGTCCGAGCCTCACCTCCTTCGCTTCGGCAGCTGCGCCGAACTTGGCCGGTTTTGGCAGCAGCTTCGGGAGCAGTCGGCTGGGTGGGTTCGGTGGTTCGGACACAGGATGGGGCAGGGCAGGAGAGAGACTGGGACCTGAAGTCTCTGCTTCTGCTTTCACTTCTCCTCGCACTGCTACTCTTCCTCCTTCCGCTCTTCCCCCCTCTGCCTTTGCTCCTGTCTCTTTGCTTTCCTCTCACGCTCGGGCGTTGTCGGATGTCCCCCGCTCCATCTCCTCTCTCTCGCACCAACACACCCCGCACCAACACAACTCGCAGCGGCAGCAGCAGCAACAACAGCAACACGAGCACCAGCAGCAGCAACAGCAGCAGCAGCGGCAGCGGTGGCAGCAAAGCATCTCCCCATCCTCTCTTCTCTCAAATCCCTACCTCAATCCCTACTCCGCTTCCTCTCTCTACACCCCATACTCGTTAACAGCCACTCCCACCTCCTCCACCGCACACCCCTATTCCACCACATCCCCCTCACCCCTCCCAATGACCCTACCCTCTCAACTCGATGCTCTCCTTCTCCTACGTGACGCCTCCACCCAACCAGCTGTCGCCACGTCAGCAGGCTTATCCACTCGTTACTTGCCAGCTGGAGGCTTCAGCGGCTACAGTGGCGGTGGCTATTCGGGCAGGGCTGGGAGCGCTGGTGCCACTCCTGGTGGCCGTTCCCCCCCTACAGTCACAGGAAATAGAGTCACAGAGAGCAGATTTACAGGAGAGAGGGTGAGAGGAGGTGGTTTGGGCGGGCATGGTGGTGTGAACACTCCTCCCTATCAATCCCCCCATCCTCCTCCCCCTCTTCCTTCTCCTCACCATTCTCACACCCCTTTGCGCCCACGCCCCTTGTCAGCACTGGGTGGGGAGGGCGCTGGTAGACTCTACTCCCAAAGCTCCTTGCAAGAGCAGCAGCAGCAGCAACGACAACAACAGCAGCAGCAGCAGCAGCGAAGGCAGCAAGAAGACTTGAGTGTCCGGTTGCCGGCTCGAGCACTATCAATAAAGCTTCCCTCTCAGCAGCAGCAGCAGTCAGGAGGGGAGCGAAGCCCTTCCCTTTCATCCCTCCCCCCTCTCTCCCCTCATAGGTTCGAACACCGACCCTCCCTCTCACACCTCCCCTCTGCTGAACCTACACCCGGACCTGCTGGCCCGGCTCACTTTGCTCCCAGGTTCGACACAGGCTCGGGAAGCGGTCTGGCAAGAAGCATCCACGGCTCGATTCCCGAGAATCTCTCTTTGCTGAGTGACAAGGAGGCGAGATGGGGCGGCGAGAGGAGGCAAGTGGAGCGGCAAATTTCGTCTGTTTCTGCGGGGTTGCTGTGGCAGGCGGCGGGGGGGCGGGTGGGGAAGAGGCAGCAGGGGGGGCTGATAGACGCACAGGTGTTGCAGCGGCTGGATGGGGGGCGAGGGCTATACTTGCCTGGCTGTGGGCTGCTGCTGCGAAACACCCTGCCGGTTGGCCACGATGTGAGTTGTTTTGTTTTTAAACGCCTCGGATTCTAGTTTCGTCACATGTCAAAAGAGTCTCGAAGCTTGCCAGGCTGTGGGCTGCTGTTGCAAAACACTCTGCCTGCAAGTCACAAGGCTTCCATTCTGGTGTTGGTGGTGAGTCCTTCCATTTTGAGACTCCTCACAATCGGGCTTCTGGAAGTCACAAAGCTCGCCCAGCTGTGGTTGGGCTGCTGCTGCTGCTGCTGCTGTGAATCAGTTTGCGTGTTGACCACGATGTGACTTTTCCATTCTGTTCCATTCCGTCCCGCCCTGCCCCGTCCCCTCCCGTCTCGTTCCGTTCTGTTTCTGTTCCTTTCTGCTCCACTCCATCCCGTCCCCTCTCCTTCTCCTCGCCTTCCTCCCTCACTTTTCCCCTTCCGTCCCCTTCCCCTCCCTCTGTTCCCAAGCAGGCAGCAGTAGGACTAGCCATGTCAATCAATGCTTCTCCTGGCGAGGAGAGAGGTGCTGCAGGACCCCTTCCTCCTCTGCCTCCTTCAGTCCTGCAGCACCTCTCTCCTCGCCTTCACTCTCATGCTCTTGGTCCTCTCTCTTTCTCTCTTCCCCCCTTTTGCTCCTCCTGGCCGATCTCTGTCTCTTCCTCCTCTACCTCCTGCAATCCTACAGCACCTCTCTCCTCGCCTTCGCTCTCATGCTCTTCATCCCTCCCGCCCCTCTCCTGCCCCTTTCCCCCTTCCCCCTCGCCCCCAAGCAGGCAGCAGTGGGTTTGGCCATGTCAATGCTTCTCCTGGCCGACCTCTGCCTCTTCCTCCTCTGCCTACTCCAGTCCTACAGCACCTCCCTCCTCGCCTTCGCTCTCATGCTCTTTGTCCTGCCGCTCGCGCCGCTCTTCTCAGCAGCAGCGGGGTTGAATGCCCTCTTTGCCCATGGGGCGAGGGGAGGAGCGGGGCTGGGAAGGGTCTATGGGCTCTGGAACATCACTTCGCTTGCCAACGGGGTGAGTGGGTTAGGGTTAGGGTTAAGGTTCGGTGAGCCAGCGGTGAGCTAGGTCATGGGCTTGGGTTTAGTATGTTGTGGTTGTTCAGCAGAGCGATGGCATGGCTAGCAGCAGATGGCATAACCAAAAACCTTTCACAATCTTTTTGTTTCTGCTTTTGCATTCCATGCAGCCTTCCTCTGGCCGCCGTCACTCTCATAATTTTCCTTTCTTCAACTCCTTCCATGCTGCTTTGACAATTGATCATGCAGCTTTGGCTCCTTCCACTCATTTTTCCACTCTCTTCTTTTCCACTCTCCTCTTTTCCACTCCGTTCGTTCCACTCCCTTTTCAGGTGGTTGCTGTGACCCTGGGAGTGTTTCATGTATGGCAAACTTACAAGGGCACTCCTTCAGGTGCTCCTCCCAGGTGAGAACAACAGAGCCTTGCGGATCGTCCTCGTTTTAGCAAGAACGAGCTCCAAAATAATTGAGGTTCTGCCACGAAATTTTGCCGCGCATGACTCCTTTTTCATGCCGCAGCGGCATCAGAGAAAAGTCGAGGGAACTATGATGCAGCGGCAAAACTGCCTCGTGCGACACTTTGATCCTCCCCCTCCCTTGACTTTCCTGACTCAGCCTGTCTGCTGCATCAGAGGAATTCACGTACTGAAGCTGCTATTTTTAAAGGTCTCAAGTGCTCGTTATTCCCCATCCTCCCCTCCCCTCCCGGGTTTCCTCTTTCCGACTTGCTCATCTTTTCCCCCTTCCCCGTTCAGGGAGTCAGCAGCAACAGAAGAGTTTACGTGGCTGCTATTCCCTGCCATGTTCGTGGCCTGCAAGCTGGCTCAAGCACGAGTCATAGACCGCCACGTGGCAAATCTGGAGATTCAGGATCGCACCCTGCTGGCAGAGGACCCGACTGTCTTTTGGGAGGCGTAAGAATGAGCTTCAATGAGGATTTCTTTGTACAGTGCGTGCTGCTGACCCTTGAACGTATTTGAATATTAGTTAGGTTTGGATTGCTACACGATGCTGTCCTGCAGTGTTATTTGTTGGAAACAACTGATTTAGGCGCCTCTGTCGTGTCGAAACACCAAGACAGAAGCGAAGTAGCTCGTATCGAAATATCGGTGAGTCAACCCTCGGAGGTTGAATAACTGTTGGAGGTTACGCGAAAGTCAAAGGTCAGCGACCTTTGACCTGACAAATACAGCGCGACAGCAAGGACAACCAACTGTCTCGATACTGAGCAGTTGCCCGAGTCGACACTGTATCGAACCGCAACAGCAACAGTAAAACAGTTAACTGTATCTCTTCATATTCCTTTGTGTTCTTATAAAAGCTTGTATCTCTTTTATTATTATCAACTTACTTTGCCCTCACATACCAGTGCAAGGTGGTTTACAACACTTTAATTAAACGCTTCCGCTACTACATCAACTCTACCCAGAGTTCACCCCTGCAAAGATCCTAGGGGCTTCTCAGCCCAACATGGTATGAGAGCTATCAGGGGGAATTCAACTTCTATACCGACAACATCAACAAGCATGGCTACACAAAAGGAAAGGAGCAACTCCAACGGCTCCCAAGGCACTACTCCTACTCCACCTCCTGCCTCTGGCCTACAGACAGAGGAGGGCACAGCAACAAGACCCAGAGCAACATCTACCGAGACTCCCGCGAATCAACCTGCAGACTTCGACCAGAGCATGATGGAGAAGTTTTTCTCCTTCATGTCCTTCTACGAGCAACACCAACAATCGGCACCTGCGCAGTCACACAACAACAACAACAACGGAGCAACACCCATGAGTCTCGACGGCTCATCATATGCACGAGGAAATAAACAACAGCAGCCTACCTTTGCTCCGTACGAGCGCGGGTCCATCAGCTTTATGCCACACCCACAGTCTTCACCTGGACAAGAAAAATCACTGGACGCATTACAAGTTCAGTCGCAGTTCGCACACGTTCTGAAGATGCAGACGTCAAGACCTTTCGATGGAAAGGACTTCTTCACCTGGTCGTTTGAGTTCGAGCTGATGATGGAAGGCGCGCAGATACTCGGGTTCTTCGACGGGTCTCTGCCATACCCAACAAACGGCACACAGTACGAGAAGCAGCAGTACACCTATCAGTCAATGATGGCGTACACGATCCTACTGAGGAATATCACCCCGACTCAACAGCAGAACATAAGGTCTTACCGAGGTTACGGCAACTCCGCGGAGCTCGCGTACAACCACCTGAAGAGCCTGTATCAAGCAACAGACAGCGTAAGTCAAAGTCGGTTAATGGCGCAACTGACAATGGTTGAAATGAAACCAGGGGAGAAAGGAATGGCGTATATCAGCCGATGTCGCGAGTTGCGCGACAAGCTTCTTCGATGCGGAGGGTCGATCTCTGAAGACGCCTTCGTGACAGTCATCATCGGCGGCCTCGGTCCTCAATGGCGTGCCACAAAGGCCATTCTCCGAGCTCACGGAAGAATCTCCGAAGCAGCGCTCTGTGCCGAAATCCACGCCGAGCAGCAAGACATGGACCTGCAAGAAGAACGACACAAAAAGGAGACATGAGCACCGGAATTCGCGTTCCACACTCAGCGACGCTACAACAACAACAACAACCGGCAGCAACAACCGAAGCTAGTACCTCCGTTCTGCCACATCTGCAAAACTTCAGGACACCCGCGTACGCACTGCCCAAATCGTCAACAGTCAACAACTCCACAGCAGCAACTTCGACCTTCAAGCAGCCAAATCGCCTCAACGCAAGCAAATCCCACGACCCAGATTCAAGCCTCAACGACTTCAACGGGACAACCTGCACAAGGAACAAGAAACATCGTCAGCTGCATGGCAAAGCTGAGTGACTCCTGCATCACCGAGTCACCACCACACTACTCACCGGAAGAACAACTCGACGAAACCACACCCCGCCGCGAGTCACTTCAGCCGAACCCGACAAACGCCGCCATCGCCCAAAGCGAACCATCCGGAAAAGACACATGGTTCTTGGACAGTTGCTGCGGACAGCACATGTGCTCCTCGGGACGCTTCGTCCAACGAGAACACCAACTTCAACGCGAAGTTGTCATTACAGTCGCCAACAATCAGAACCTGCGAACACGACGACAAGGCGTAGTTCAACTTCAGTCAAGGGAAACAAACGTTATACTGCAGATGTCAAAAGTACTAATCGCAGAGGGACTCGGCTACAACTTACTGAGCGTCAGTCAGCTAATGGCGAAAGGGATTCACCTCGAAGCAGACAGCACCACCCAAGAATTCAAGCTGTATCATGGGAGAAGAGGACTTTACATCGGCAAGGCGGTCCTCAAGAACAACGTCTTCGTTCTTGATTTCGTTCCTGATCTTGGCACCGCCGACAGCGACGCCATCGTTAACTTCACCAACTGGACACACCCTCCAGACCTTGATCCAGACTTCAGTCCAGAAGGCTTCTGGTACTCACACACCATCCCTGAAGCTGAAAGAACAAGGGCGTTAGCAACAATTCAGACAACATCGGCAGCAGCAGAGACAACATCGGCAGTAGCAGAACCATTAACGGCAGCAGCAGGAACGTCAACACCAATTGCTAGTCCTTCAACGACACCTCTCCTCATCGACGACACACCACCGACACCCGCGCAACAACTACACCCAGCACCACAAGAAGTTCATCGTAGCGCCAACTTCACCGCCAACTTCTACTCCAACTCCGATATGTACCGACGATCACCCGGACATCGCGCCGACGAAAGCACCTGGCACGCAAGGATGGGACACCCAAGCAACACAGTATTAAACAATACGATAAGAGCAGGAGTACTCGACAAGGACTCACTCCTACTGACCGACGGACGAGAACTTCAACGAGTACGCGGAACGTGCTTCACCTGCCCTGAAGGTGACTTATCACATCGACCGTTTGTGTCTCATCACAACCCGAGCGCACCCGCGTACGCACCACTCGAGAAGGTGTATAGCGACATCCTGTACAATCAGGAACCAGGACAAGCAACATACAACTATACAATCACCTTCATCGACGCCGCCACCCGTTACGTCTGGCACCTAAACCTCCCTAGCCGCGACATGGCATTCGCAGCCTTCGTTGCCTGGCTACCAGTAGCAGAGAGAGAATCGGGCGTGAAACTGAAAAGCTTCCAGTCAGACGGAGGAGGAGAATACACCTCTCAGCGATTCAAGCAGTACCTGGCGGAAAGGGGAATCAAGCGGCTCATCTCCCTTCCCTACGCCCATCAGCAGCAAGTGTCAGAACATTATATAGCTTATGCTGTTGTGTAGGCTATAGTGGGGCATCCCATAGGGGGTACAACCCAATTAGGGTTTTCTATATGTACTCACCTCATTCATAGTTCATCATCCTCGTTCTTCATTCTTCTCATGGTATCGAGCAGGTTCCCTCGTGGGAACTGTTCCTAGGGCCCACCGTTTTTTTTCCTGCCCGGAGCGCACTCTGCCCCTACCCGAGTCGCGCTCCCCTCTCTCTTGGCCCCTAGTGGCCCCTTTAGCCGCCCGTCACGGCCCTTAGACGCCCGCGCGCCGCCCGTCCCGGCCCCTTAGACGCCCGCGCGCCGCCCGTCCCGGCCCCTAGACGCCCGTGCGCCACCCGGCCCGGCCCCTAGACGCCCGCGCGCCGCCCGTCCCGGCCCCTAGACGCCCGCGCGCCGCCCGTCCCGGCCCCTAGACGCCCGCGCGCCGCCCGTCCCGGCCCCTCGACGCCCGCGCGCCGCCCGTCCCGGCCCCTCGACGCCCGCGCGCCGCCCGTCCCGGCCCCTCGCCGCCCGTGAGCCGCCCGTCCCGGCCCCTAGACGCCCGCGCGCCGCCCGTCCCGGCCCCTAGACGCCCGCGCGCCGCCCGTCCCGGCCCCTCGACGCCCACGCGCCGCCCGTCCCGGCCCCTAGACGCCCGCGCGCCACCCGGCCCGACCCCTAGACGCCCGCGCGCCGCCCGTCCCGGCCCCTCGACGCCCGCGCGCCGCCCGTCCCGGCCCCTCGACGCCCGCGCGCCGCCCGTCCCGGCCCCACGCAGCCCGTGAGCCGCCCGTCCCGGCCGCGCACCGCAGTCCCGGCCCCACGCCGCCCGTGCGCCGCCCGTCCCAGCCGCGCGCCGCCGTCTCGGTCCCCACGCCGCCTGTGCCGCTGAGGAGCTGAGCCGCCCGAGCCGCCCGCGCCGCCCGCACCGCCCGAGCAGCCCGAGCCGTGCTGCCCCTCAGCAGCACAACCGAGCCGCCCGACAGCAGAGCAGCCGAGCCGCCCAGCAGCCGAGCCGCTCAACAGCCGAGCCGCCCAGCAGCCGAGCCGCCCAGCAGCCGTGCCGCCCAGCAGCGGAGCTGCCGAGCCGCCGAGCCGCCCGGCAGCCGAGCCGCCGAGCCGCCGCGCCGCCCTTCTTCCGGGCCGCCCGACCTGTCCAGTCTGGTGAGCACAGCGCCCTTTCACTGCACTGCCCTCACCCTACTGTTTGCGCTGCCAGTCGTCTAGGGTCATGGCTACCCCTAGTGTTCTAGTCTTTGACGCTGAGGGTCGGGCCATTGACTTTGAGGTCTGGGTGGATGACCTGCAGCTGTTCTTACAGTGCGATAGGGCAGATGGTCTCTCTCTCTTTGACCTCACCTCTGGCGCCTCCACTGCCCCTGCTGCTGACGCCGACGCCACTGTTCGCTCCCAGTGGGCCACGCGCGACGCTGCTGCACGTCTTGCTGTGCGTCGCCACCTCCCTACCTCCGAGCGTGCACACTTTAGTCAGTACAAGAGTGCTCAGACCTTGTACGACGCTGTAGTTGCGCGCTACTCCTCCCCTGCCACTGCTGCACTGAGCCGTCTCATGCTACCGTACCTCTTTCCTGACCTTGCTGCCTTTCCCACAGTCGCTGACCTCATTACGCACCTCCGCACTAGTGACACTCGCTAC